GGGTGGGTGGAGAAACCATATTTACATACATTTGAACCCCACCCCACGCCCATGTCTCTGACATCCATATGGGGTGAATGGAGGAGGGGGTGGGGTTGGTGTGTGATGTCACGTGACCTGCAGCCTCTCCCACTGCTGACTGCCAAGCTCAGGGTGACAGGTGGTGGTCCCCACCCTCCCAGATTCGCTGTCCAGGCAGGCGCCAGTTATCAGCTGTTGGATGGCCGACCCCTTCAGCTTCCATTTCTGAAATGAGCAACGGAGACATGGTTACATGTGCTATGTGTTAATGCAGTGCCTTACATGATGTCAAGATGGGCCGTGGTCACATTTCACATTTCTAAGGTTCTCACTCCGGGTTCAGCGACTTCACAGAATCTAAATGATCCCTTCCCACATTCCACGGTAGGATATGAACTCATGTTGCCCAGTCATTAGTGCAGCTCCCCATTCCCTGTAATGGCCCCACTGTATCCTTACTGTACCCTCACCACTGTAAGGAGATGCCAAAGTGAAAGCACACTTTGCAAGCTCTAGCATATCTAGATGAATTCATTTAAGAAGGGATAAACATTGCCAATGCCTTGGAGAGAGCTCCCCTGCTTTTCTGTGGACGTGTCAGCCTTTATGTCAAGCTGACAAGATGGTTCTGAGCAGGAGAGTCATATTAGACTGGAAACGTGAATTCTGTTTTTCTCTCTCTCTGCAGAAGCTGCCAGACCTGCTGAGTTTCTCCAGCATTCCCTGGAGTTTTATTTCAGATTGGTGGCTCCTCGTTTTGAGAAACTGACTGTAAGGCGGTGCTTCTGACAACAATGCAGCACTCCCTCAGCCCGGCTCACGTGCTCTGGAGTGGGGCTTGAAGTCACAACTTCTGACTCTGGGGAAAGAGAGCATCATGTGCTCAATCGCAGATTATCACGTTCACGTTTGTTTTATGATCTTTAAATCAGAAGTGAGTTTGTAAAGCATTGGCTAAATTTCGGATTCTACTCTTTAGTTTTGGAATTCTTGGCGCCCGGAATCCCATTGAAAATACCACTCTTGATCCTAAAATCCATTAAAACAATTCTCTGGCTTGTTAGTTGTAAATAATATTATACAATTCAAATTGTTAGAGCGCAGAGAAAGGGACTTGCTTCAGTACAGTACTAGATTTCAGGAAAGCTAAGTTTTAACGGGGAGGTGACAGCCTCGTGGTATTATCGATGGACAGTTAATCCAGAGCCCCAGGTAATGTTCTGGGTACCAGGGTTCGAATCCTGCCAAGGTGGATAGTGGAATTTGAATTCAATTTTAAAAAACTTTGGAATTAAGAGCCAAATGATGACCATGAAACCCGTGTCAATGGTCAGGAGAAACATATCTGGTTCGCTGATGTCCTTTAGGGAAGGATACAGCCATCCTACATGTGACTCCAGACCCATAGTAATGTGGTTGGCTCTTAACTGCCCTCTGGGCAATTAGGGATGGGCAATAAATGCTGGCCTAGCCAGTGATGCCCTCATCCCATAAATGAATAACAAAAAAAGAAAGTGACAGGACAAGATTGAAATCGACAATTGCAAATTGATCAAAAACGTGACCAGGGAAACAACAGCAGTGGGAGATGTTTAAAAACAAAATAACTTAATTCAGGGCACTAGCATACCGTGCTAAGGGGACCAGAGCTCTACTTCTCAAACAAACCAGATACGGTCAACAAAAAGGGTAAGAGATAACAGAACAATAAAGGAAAGAACATATAAAAATGCATTGAATAATGTAAAACCGCAGAGCTGGGAGAGATGCACAGAGCAAAGGAAGACAGTCAACAGCTGCAAAGCAGGAATATGAAAATATATGGAATTAATTTTGAAAATAAGGAAATGATCAACCTGTTCAATACTTTATGTCGGTCTTCACAACTGGGAAGAGATTAATATACTAGACATTCCAACGATTCTAAGAATAAATCAAGGACTGGAATTCACCATAGCTAAAGCAAATATGGAAAACCAAATACAACCACTACTATAATACTCCTATTACATACTGCTACTACAAAATACTGATCACCAGGACCTCATGGCTTTTAAACAAAATAAGTGATGAAATTGCACATGTCCTAACCATGTGTTCAAGTTTTTCTTATTCAGGAGTTGTCCCTTTAGATTGGACAATTATGCATGTAACCTCATTCTTTAAGAAAGGCGAGAGAGAAAAACCTGGCAACTACTAACTCATGAGTATACTAAAGGTTGTGTAATTAAGAGTGATCGAGTCTTTCAAGAAATTTGAGCTGACCAGGGAAAGAGTCAACATGGATTTGTAAAGAGCGATGATGCATCATGAAACTAACTGAATTGTTGAGGGAGTAACCAAGGTAGTGGACAGGGAATATCTATGAGTGTAGTTTAGGTGGACTTTGTGTAAACAAATGGGCTGTTTGCAATCCTGGTGTCATTCAAACTCTGAGATGAGCTTTGTACCATGTGTCCAGATCATCACTGAATGCCCATTTCAACCTCTGGCACATAATCTGAACCATTGGCTACACAGAACAATGTCCATCATCTCCTTTCCAATTACAACTACGTTCCTCTATTGAAGAGCACGTTCATGATCTTTCAACAAGTTGATAATGAGCTTACCAAAATGCTTCCTTGCTATTCCCCAAAGCGGAAAAACAAATAACAAAGAACAGTACAGCACAAGAACATGTTTTATGACCCACAAACACTGTGCCAACACATGTTTTAGCTTTTTAAACTAAACACCTTTAACCTCTATGTGGTCTGTATCCCTCTATTCCCTGCCTATTCATATTATATGTCAAGATGCCTCTTAAACATTGCTTTCGAATCCATCTCCACCATCTCCTTTGGCAGTGCATTCCAGGCCCTTACTATCCTCCGTGTAAAAATACTTGCCCCTCACATCTCCTTTAAATTTGCCTCCCTTTACTTTATGTCCTCTAGAATTTGACATTCCAACCCCCGGGTAAAAGACTCTGACCATCCATACCTCTCATAATTTTGTAAGCTTCTATCAGGTCGCCCCTCATCTTTCAACAATCTCCTCATAGCTAATATCCTCCAAACCAGGCAACACCCTGGTAAACTGGTTCTGTAACCTCTTCAAAGCCTCCACATCCTTCTGCTGTTGCGATGATCAGAATTATATGTAATATTCCAAAAGTGGCCTAACTAAAGTTCTATAGAGCTGCAACATGCCAACCCTGACCAATGAAGGCAAGCATGCCATATGCCTCCTTAACCATCTTATCCACTTGTGTTGCATAGAAATTCCAAGCAAGCAAAGGGATGGACATATAAAGAGGAGGGTGTTTTGCTACACAGATGCAAAGCCCTAGTTAGATCATATGTGGAGTACTCAGGTCAAATCAGGACAGCAGAAAGGGTACAGAAAAAATTTACAAGGATGTTACCGGGATTGGAGGGCTTGAGTCATAAGGAAAGGCTGGATAGGCTGGGATTTTTTTCCCCCCTGGAGCATAACAGATTTAGGGATGATCTCATATGTTAACCCAAGGTGAATAGCCAGGGTCTTTTTCCAAGAGTAGTGGAGTTCAAAATTAAAAGGCATAGGTTTAAGTTGGGAAGGGAAAGATATAAAAGAGACCCAAGAAGCAACTTTTTCGCATACAGGGAATGAGCTACCAGAGGAAGTGGTAAAGGCAACATTTAAAAGACATTTGGACAGATAAACAAACACGAAAGGCTTAGAGTGATATGAACCAAACAACCAAATGGGACTTGATTAGTTTAGGAAATCTTGTTGGCATGGACGATTTGGACCAAAGGGTCTGTTTGCATGCTCTATGATTTCTTAGGAATAATATACAAGCCTTCACACTTAATGAGAATGTTAGGTAACAAGGTGTAGAGCTGTGTTTCTGATTTCTGAAGATGGGTCCAGACCAGAAACGTCAGCTTTCCTGCTCCTCTGATGCTGCTTGGCCTGCTGTGTTCATCCAGCTTTACACCTTGTTATCTCAGATTCTCCAGCATCGGCAGTTCCTACTATCTCTAATGAGAATGTTAGTAAGGTTTTAAAGGTTACATTGTAAGGTGGGAGCACAAAAACTCAGTTTGTACTCTCGGATTCAGGCAGTTAAAATGGCTGAAGTGAGATATTTAGGTTTTGAAAGAAACTGGTGAGCTGGAAGAAGAGAACACTTTTGCACTGGCGAGAGTATGTCTAGGACAAAGGGTCATGAGCTGGAAATCCAAGCCAAGCTTTTGAGGAGTTGAGTCAGGAGGCACTCCACGATAAGACTGGTAGAAACGTGGAACTTTTCTTTATTCTTTTATGGGGTGTGGGCATCTCTGGTAAGGCCAGTGTTTGTTGCCCATCCTTAATTTGTTTTCAACTTGAGGCATTCAAGAAAGGGATCATTTGGATAGAAATAACATGCAAGGGTATGGGCAGAAAGCAGGCACTAGTTAATGATGCTCATTTAACTAGCCAGTACAGGCACGATGGGTTGAGTGGCCTACTTCTGGGCCACTCTGTGATTCTGTGAACATTTCCGAGGGCAGTTAAGAGTCAAGCACATTGCCATTGGTCTGGAGTCACATGAAGGCCAGACTGGTTGAAGATTTCCTTCTCTGAAGGACATTAGTGATCCAGATGGGGTTTCACAACTAACTTTTTTAATTCCAGATTAACTACCCATTGGATTTAAATTTAATTACAGGGATTTGGACCCGTATCCCCAGAGTATCAACCTGGGCCAGCAGCTAGTTCAGTGACATTAACACTGCACCACTGTCTTCCCCGTCCCAAACAGTAGGCTCTATCTTATTTAAGCATTTTAAATCTGAGATCAATAGTATTTTGCTAGCCATGTAGAATATTAAACCATGGAGGGTGAAGCCTTTGAAATATAGACCAGCTATGTTCCCAGTACATGGTAGAACACACTCAAGGCTGAATGGCCTCCTTCCTGTTCCTATTATGAATGTCAACAGGACAGTTGCTGGTTTGTAAGAACACAGAGTGCAACATTCAGTGTTTGTATCTCCCCTTCCATCCCATACAAATGCAGCATTGTCGAAAAGTGTGCCACTCTTCTGTGTAATAGCCTAATCATATAGTGGACTATTAATCCACAGAATATATTCAAATTCGATCACAGCAATCTGCCATTTTAAATTTAGTTTAAATAATCTGGGAATAACGAAAAAAAAAGTCTCGGGTCAAAACGTTGACAGTGAGGCTGCTAGATTGTCATTGTTTTGTATAGAAAAACTGATTCACGTCCCTTAAGGCAGGAGATGTGCCAGTGTTTGTAAGTGACTCCATTTCCACACCAATACTTGTAACTATCTTTAATCATAGAACAGAATCATAGAATCCCTACAGTATGGAAACAGGCCCTTCGGGCCAACAAGTCCACACTAACCCATCCCCTTGTAACCTACCTAATCTACGCATCCCTGAATATTATGGGCAATTTAGCACAGCCAATCCACCTAGCCTGCATATCTTTGGATTGTGGGAGGAAACTGGAGCACCCAGAGGAAACCCACGCAGACACAGGGAGAATGTGCAAACTCCACACAGACGGTGGCCCGAGGGTGGAATCAAACCTGGGTCCCTGGCGCCTGATGCATTCTGAAGTGGTCAGTATCACGAAGCTCTTCAAGGGTTGGCTTACAAATGCCAGCCTTGTCAGCTACACTTCCTTAAATGCTTTTTCTGGCAGTGGGAGGAAGTGCACAGCCAAACTGTTCAAGCATGTGGCCCTTTAAATTCTGTTGTGTAGCCTCATGCTGTGTAATTTAAAGGGGCTGGCTTGTGGCTGCCTCTGTTTTGATGGGCTTTGTGACTGCTGCATAGCTGAGAGGGTAAAGTTGCTGATAGGTGGCATTCACGCCCCGAGAGTGAATGGGTCACAGTGGGATCGTGGGAGGTGGGGGAAGTGCTGAGCAAGAATCGACCTCACTCTGTGTTCCTGTAGTGATTATAATAAGGTCAGCCAAGTGGTCGTCATAGTATATGAGTTCCCTGATTGGGACTGTTAATCAGAGAAACCTGGCTGACAGATAAGAACAGGAGTGTCAGAGGTTCTGCTCACACTGAGAGCTGGCTCCAACTGGATCAGTCTCAAAGACTCTTCAGGTGTAAATAAAGGGTGACTTGGTAACGGAATAACAGCCTCTGTGGAGTTAGTTCAGTTCTATGTGTGCAGGAGGCAAGTTGGCAGCTGTGTCGGGAAGCCTGAAAGAAACCCTGCAAGGTGCTTCTGGAGCTAGAATATGCAGTGAACCCTGCTGATGTTTACAGTTTAGTATCGCCGCTAAGTAACCATTTTCCATTGTAAACTGTAGTCTTTAAGTATGTCTCCTGCTGATATGTGATGGGATGTTTTATTCTAAATATAAACCACAGGTGAATGCTTGGAGCTCCTGCCACATGGTTTCTGTTAATAATTAGAATGTTCTAGGAGGAAGTATCACTGATATTGCGGGGAATAAGCTGCTCTACGTTTTTATAATACAGCAAACATATATGCAAACCAATTAATGGCAACTCTGCATTTTCTTTTTTTTTTTTAAATGAGTTCTCCTACTTTCCAAGATTTCTTTTGGCAGGTCCACCTCCACTGTGTGGCACTTGCTCTTGAAATAAGCCTCACCCAATATTGGCATTCTCAATGAATATCAGAAGGGGCGATCTCCGGACTGTTGAGCGGAAGGTGTGACAGATGTGGCTGAGACAGAAATTGTGGGTTCGTGTCATAACTCTGGAGACTCAAGCACAAAGGTGCAGTACTGAGAGAGTGGTGCTACGTCAGAGATGCCATCTTGAACTAAAGCCTCATCTTCCCTCTCAGTTCAACTCTGCGAAATAGAGGCCAGTTCTCTCTTGTGGTTTGGTCTGTACTTATCTTTCAATCAACAGAATACCAAAATACAGATTATCTGCTCATTGTTATACGTGTACTTTGCCTTTAAAGGGAGCTCACCTTTAAAGGACTTCATGTGCTGTATGTATACAATGTTGTGACTCTGCCTGACTGCTCACCTGCTTTGTGTCTGCGAGCTGTGCACACACAAATCAGCTGGTTTGCTGCAATGTCTGCTTCATAACTTGTAATGTGTTTTACTGTGTTAACTAAACTAATGCACAGAGTTAATCCATCTCTGATGAGTGATTGATTATCAGGCACTTATCATTCACAGGATGGTCATTAATCATGTTACATGCAACAAGATCCCACAAACACAGCCTTACCTACTCTAAGTTTCCCCATTTCAACAGTGACGACGTTTCCATAGTATTTGATGGGTCATAAACACTGGTGTGATGCAGGAGCGCAGGAAGGTTGGTGCGGGAAGTTCAAGACTGCCTGTTAATGGGACTGAAATCCCAGCCTCAACCCCTGACTACCAGAAGCTCTGCAGGTACACATTGCCAAATTCTCACCTGTCTGCCATCCTCCTGATTACATGGTTCGAGTACAACTTGGGAAGCTATGGAGAAGTTTGTAATCGCCATGCACTTGTCCTGCTGCTTGATCTGTGCTCCGGAAAACACCCATTCCTGCAAATCATCAAAAACCCAAAAATCCAGTCACAGTGGTCAGTTTCATCAGAGAGAGGATGGAAGCAAACTGGAAAATATTAACAAAAAAAAATCACTCAACATCGGTGTGATTATGTTTCCCTGTAAATCACAAATGTTATCCTATTTTGAGTGGGACAAAGGTAAACTCTCCCTCCTCGTCTTTCTCAATATCACCTATCAAAATGTTGACCAGACCATCCTCCTCCAACACTTCTCCACCGTCATTCAACATTGTGACACTGCTGTCATCTGGTTTATTCTGATAGAATTGAACAAAGCAGGATCACAAGTAGACCATTCAGCCCCTGGATCTCCCTCTGCCATACAAGATCGGAACTGATTTGTCTGTGCGTCGAATTCCACATACTCTGGTTAACCGTTCATTCCTCTGCTAAACAAGAATCTACCTACCTCAGCCTTTAGTCTCACAGCATAACGTTCTCACCTCTGCCCTAATAGGGCGGCTCACATTAAAACTTCTGGCCTGATCCACAAGAGGAAACGTTCTTTAACCATCCATCTTAAGACCATTCAGGATCCATCAAGTCACCCCTCACTCCTCTAAACCCCAGTGGAAACAAGCCCAGCCTGAGCAACTCATCATCATAAGACAACCCATTCATTCCAGGTATTAGTCGAGTAAACCTCCTCTAACCTCCTTCCAATAGAGTTACACTTGCTAAGATAGATAATAAATGTTTAACCTACAATGGTTGCCCTTTCTGCCCCCAAGACCTTATTCTTTAACTCGCTTACAATTCCTCATTGACGTGTTGCTCCTCAGGAAACCAAGTGCCATTCACCCATCGCCTTGTGCCGTGTATTAGTTCCTGCTCCAGTAACCTCTCTATTTTACAAGTCTACTACTCCCACATTACCTCACCTCTCCCTATCTGAGTAGTCTCCTCCGGCCCTGCTACCTTCCAAAACTATCCGTGCTTCTCCAATTCCAGCATCCCAGATTTTTAAACGCTCCACCATTGGTCCCTTCAGCGGCTGAGACCTTAAGCTCTAGAATTCCCTGCCAAAACTGCCTTTTTTTTTTAAGGTTACCTGTTGTAAAAGTGCCTTATATGGTGCAGTGTCGAACCAGGTTAGATAACAATCCTGTGCAGCATCCTCAGCAGTTTTATATATTAAAGACATTGCACAAACACAAGCTGTTCTTGAGGAAACAAGGCCACTGGTTTTTGCCTCTCACCTGGTTGTAGGGAATGCTGCTTAGTGTCTCTGTGCACTGCCCCAGGCCAATGATGATATCATCTGTCTTGTAAGGGGCCTGAGATTGCATACACTTTCCTCGCTGTCTCAGCACAACTGTTTCAGATGCCTGCTTTTCTGGAATTCTACAGTAAAAATAAAGATGTGAAGACCAGGTAAAGTGACACACTCGGTCACGACAAACTGAATAGAAATCAGTACTTGAAATGCATTATTTAAATTTCATTTCTGAGTCAATGGCTAGGCCAACCTTTGGTGCCCATCTCTAACTATCCTGGAGAAGGTGGGCTATCTAAGGAGCCTTGGTAAATTTCTGCAGTGCATCTTGTAGATAGTACTACAACAGCATCGGACATGGAAGGGCTGATTGCTTGGGTGTCCTTGTTCCTGAGTCACTGGAAGTTAGCATTCAGGTGCATCAAGCAAGTAGGAAGGCAAGTGCTACATTGGTCTTCATCATAAGGGGATTTGAGAACAGGAGTACAGTTGTATAGAGCCTTGGTGAGACCAACCTGGATTACTCTGTATAGTTTTGGTCCTGTTATCCAAGGAAGGATCTACTTGCCTTAGAAGGAGTGCATTAGAAGTTCACCAGATTAATCCACATGACTGTCTATGAGGAGAGATTGAGGAGACTGGATCTGTATTCTCTAGAGCTTTGATGAATGAGGGCTGACCTCACTGAAACTTAAAAGTTCTTACAGAGTGTAACTGAGTGGATATGAATATTTCCCCAGGCATAATCTCAGGATAAGAGGTAGGCTATTTAGGACTGGAATGTGAAGGTGGTTCTTCACCCAGAGGGTGATGAATATTTGGAATTCTCTACCCCAGACGGCTGTGCAGACTCAGTCATTGAACAGGTTCAAGTCAGAAATCAATAATGTTCTCGGGACTAATGGCATCAAGTGATGTGTTCTGTTGGTGGTGTTCCACGGTGGCTCAGAGGTTAGCACTACTGCCTCGCAGCACCGGGGACCTGGGTTCGATTCCAGCCTTAGGCAACCATCTGTGTAGAGTTTGAAGGCTCCCCCCGTGTCTGAGTGAGTGCACCAGTTTCCTCGCACAGTCCAAAGATGGGCAAGTTAGGTGGATTGGCCATGGGAAATAATGCGGGGTAGGGTCTGGGTGGCTTGCTCTTTGGAGGGTTGTTGCAGACTCCATAGACCAAATGACCTGTATTTGCACTGGAGGAATTCTATGACTCATCTGGAGTCCACGTTGTTACTGTTACATGGGAAGGATGGTTGAGAATTGTAAACCTCATCGATGAACAGAGGACGAGAGAGGAAAACACAGTAAATCCTCTGTATCCATGCGTTCATAACTCGCAAATTTGCCTATTTGCATCAAAAAATAAATAGCAACAAAATTCAACATCTGTGGGCAAACTTGCATATCCGTGATTTTTAACCTGTATTTTAAATGAGCTCCACCCTCACGAACTTCATCATTCAGCGGAGTTCTCAGAAACAGAACCCTCCCAGACACAGAGGAATGACTGTAACTGGAAGCTGGAGGGAATCCTACCTGAGCTCGGGGTAGACATTTTGTAGGTACCACTGGAAAGATTTGCACTGTAGCTTCTTCCGCAGCTGAACTCGATCTGCAACACTGAAATAGACAGTGCTAAGTTCAGGATCTTCAAGTTAAGTGTCACAGTTTAATCGAAAGGGATGTAACCGTTGAGAATCCAGGCTGTGTTTCTGATCACAGATGGCCAGGTTTTACTTGCACTCATGGGAAGAGGCTGGACAGAAATTCACAAGGCCCTTGTACTTTGATACAATGGGGATGCAATTCTACCCTCCGATTCGAGGTTCAAATCCCAATTCAGATGCCTGAGCTCACAATCCAGGCTGATAGCACAGTGCTGAGGGAATGCTGCGCTGCTGGAGGTGCTGCCTCAGAGGTGAGGTGTGGACTTTAAAGCCCCTTTGCATCTTTGAGGAAGAGTATTCCATCTTGTGTGCCCAGGCCATGGTGCCATGAAGAAATCCCAATCATCTTATTGCTGAGCTTGGCAGGATGTGGAATTGCCAGGGAATTAAGGTCTCTCCACTTTGGAGGAACTCATCAGATGGAAAATTCTTTGAGACATCACCTGGTGCTCTATTGGAACAGGAGACATAAGTGGAAAAGAAATACCTGGAGATATCATCAACTTACTTTCCATAGTGCCTTCCCACAGCAGACGGCCTGGCTTCGTAGTAGTACTGTTTATAGTCATCCATCCACACTTCCACTGTACGTTTGGTATTCCTTCAAAAACAAAAACCCACCATATCACAACTTCAAATACAACACAGGAGCAACACAGTGGCCCAGTGGTTAGCACTGCTGCCTCACAGCGCCAGGGACCTGGGTTCGATTCTATTCTAACACAAGCTTGGTCACAAACCATGCAGTGTCACCTGATTAGTGATGACAAACAGCCTAAGCTAACTCTTACCAAATCAATCATTTCTCTCTTTTTTTCTTGAATGACAAGACCATCAGAGTCACGCTCTGACTCACTCCACATCCTTCTGTTTCCTCTCACCCTCCCCGACATACCACAGTAGAAATCTGTGCCCGAGATTCCGGGATTGGGGCACTGTAACCCTCTTGCATTGTTTAGGTGGACCGCTTCCTTGATTTCTGGTCATGCTTCAGTCTCGTACTGCTGCCTTTGCCCCAGTCAGTGCAGAGGGGAACTGGACAGATAGAGGAGCACCCCACAGGGCAGCTCCTGGGCCTGACTGAGGTGGCCATGCATAGATCCTAGATACCGCCCTGAGATCTGTATAAGACTCATCTTGTAGACCTAAAGATGGGAACACCAGTACATCCAGTGCGTTCATTCCCCATAATCTCGGAATTGTAACGGCACAGAAGGCGGCCTTTGGGCCCATCGTGCCCGCATGAGCTAGTCAAACGAGCTTCATTGTCTAGAGCCAATCTCCTGCATTTTCCCCATATCTTTGTACACCATTTCTATCCAAGTAACCATCCAGTACCCTCTTGAATGCCTCCATGAACCTGCCTCCACCATATTTCCAAGCAGTGCATTCTGCACCCCAACTACTCGCTGCATAAGAAGATTTTTTTTTTTTCACTTCACCCTTGCTTCTTTTGCACATCACTTTAAATCTGAGGAAGGGCCACCGGACCCAAAAGGTTAACTCTGATTTTTCCTTCACAGGTGCTGCCAGACCTGCTGAGCTTCTCCAGCAACTTTGTTTTTGTTCCTGATTTACAGCATCCACAGTTCTTCGGTTCTACTTTAAATCTATGCCCTCTTCCTCTTGTTCCTTTTTACAAACAGTTTCTGCCTTTTACTTTACCCAGCCTGCTCATCATTTTGAAAATCTCTATCAAATCTCCTCCCAGCTTTCTTCCCTCCAAGGAGACAGACCCAATGTTTCTGATCTATCCTCATCATTGAAGTCTCCCATTCCTGGAACCGCTCCTGAGCTCTCTTCAATGCTTTCACATTTTTCTAGTTTTAATGTTTTTATTTCTCTGTTAATGAGCAGTGGAGGAGGATTGTCTCATCTGACTGACTCTCTTCGACTGCGATGAGTGTCCCTGGAAAGGAACCGTATTCTCACGAGAATAGGCAAAACAGTGGTGGGGTAGCTCTGATGATAAAGTGTGGAGCATCATATCATGAAGTGGAATCAGGTTGGGTGGAAATAAGGAGTGGTAAGGGTAAGATGTCATGGGTTAGAGTAGTTAAGGATTCCCTGGGAGATATGGTAGAATTTCAAATTTAGTTTGAGGGAGAGCAAAGCAGGTATCAAACCAGTGTCCTCAAATTAAATAAAGACAATTACAGAAGGACGAAGAAGAGTCTATTTTCCCAGCCCGTTTAAACAACTAAGGAGAAAGTCAGTGGATGAGCAGTGTCAGGAATTTAAGCTGATGTTTCACGATGTTCAGCAAAAATGTACTTCAGTAAAAGGAAGGACTGACTGAGAAGGATGGGCTTCTCGTGGTTTATAAAGGTGATCAGGAGAGTATCCAATCAAAAACTAAGGCACGCAAAGTGGTGAGATGTAGGCCAGAGGTCTGGGATTTCTTTTTAGGAAGCAGCAATCGATGACTAAAAGCCAAAAAAGGGAGAAAATTAATTATGAAAGTGAACCAGTAAGAAATATAAAAACAAACATCAAGAGCTCCTACGATATACAAAAATAAACAAACAGAGTAGCTAAAGTAAGTGTGGGACTCTCATAGGATGCAACTGGAGAATTAATAATGGGAACAGGAAAATGGCAGATAAATTAAACCAATATTTTGCATCAGTATCATGTGGAGAATACTATAGATAAAAGAGACATCAGATAAGTAAGGTGCTCACACGAGGAAAGACCATGTAACAACCTCTATCACAGAGGACAAAGTATTTGACAATCTAATGGGACTATATTTAGATTTCCAGAAGACATTCAATAAGGTGCTATATAAAAGACTATTGCACAAGATTGGAACTCACAGTACTGGGGGCACTGTATTAACATGGATTGAGGATTCATTAAATTACAGAAGATGGAGTGTTAGGATTAATGGGTCTTTTTCAGGTTTAAAAGATGTAACTGGTGGAGTGCCACAAGGATCAGTCTTAGGGACTCCAATTATTTACTATCTGTATTAATGACCTGGAGGACAGGGCTGAGTGTTATATATCCAAATTTACTGATGATACAAAAATAGATGGGAGAGTGTGTTGTGATGAGGACATAACAAATCTGTAAGGGGATATAAACAGGTTGAGTGAGTGGGCAAGGACATGGAAGATGGAGTTTAAAGTAGCAAAGTATGGTGTCATGCACTTCGGTCACAAGTATCAAATGGCAGACTATTATTTACAGGCAGAGACTCCAAGAAAGTGTAGCGCAGAGGGATCTGGGTGTTCTTGTGCATAAAACATAAAATTTTAGCATAGAGATGCAGCAAGGAATTAAAAAGACAAATGGAATTTGACCATTCCTAGGAGGTTGGAGTTTAAAAACAGGGAAGTCCTGTTACCACTGTCTCAAGTGTTAGTGAGGGTGCACCTATATACTGTGTAGTTTTAATCCCTGTATTTAAGAAAGGATGTACTGCAATTGGACGTGGTTCAAAAGAGATTCACTAGGCTCATTCCTGGGATGAAGGGGTTGACTTAACAAGAACAACTAAAAAGATTAGGCCTTTATTTATTTGAGTTTAGAAGAATGAGAAGTTACCGGATTGAAACATCCACATTTCTGAGGGGGCTTGACAGGTAGATGTTGAGAAGATGTTTCCACCTGTGAGGAGTCTCAAGACTAAAAGATGTGGTTAGAGAATAAGGAGACACCCGTTAAAACTGAGATGGGAAGAAATTTCTTCTCCCAGTGGGTGGTGAATGTCTGGAAATCTCTATCCCAGACTGTTGTGGAGCCTGGGTCAGTGAAATAATTTATAGAGGGGGTAGTTAGGTTTTGGAAATATCAGGGAGGTGAGGACTATGAGGAGCAGGATAGAGGAGTTGGCGATCAGCCACAATCTTGTTGAATGCCATGGCAGGCTTGAGGGGCTGAATGGCCTCCTGCTGCTCCTAGTTCTTATAAAGCTAATCTCAGTAGTGGTGCCCATGAAACTATCATCAAACCTTGTGAAAAATGGTTCTGGTTCACTGACATCATACAGGGAAGAAAATCTGCTGTCCTTTCCTAGTTTGGCCTATATGTCACTTCAGACCCACAGCAATTGGCTGACTCAGAATGTCCTCTGAAACAGCCTAGTTCACAGTCAATTCAGGAAGGGGAGAAAATGCTGACACCACCCACATCCGTCAAAGAAAGCTGAGTCTGTTTCTAGCAAGGATGGGGCAGAGCATTCCATCTGGAACTCACTTTCTTAAAAGGTGGTGGAAGCAAAGTTCTTGACTTTTTGTAAAGGCCGAGCGAGGTAGATTCTTGGTGAGCAAGAAGTGAAAGGTCGGTGGGGACGGCAAGGAATGTGGACTGATCAGCTCAGCTACAATCTTATTGAATTGCAGGGCAGGTTGGAGGGGCTGAACGGCCTACCGATGCTCCCAATTCATAAGTTCACTGACACTATACAGTGCTGCACTGTCTCTCCCCTCCGTCACAACGGAGGCCCAGCAAGAGACTGAAACAACTCTTTATTTACCAATGACTCTAGCGTTGCCTCATTCAGAGTCAGCTCTAAGAGTGTCAGTATGTCTGACACTCACCTTATTATCTGCCAGCCGATATGTTTCTCCCTCTTGTTGGTTCTCTCACCGGCTACCGCAGATCCCATCTACTGGTTTGCTCCTTTAGGACCCAACCAACCCGATCAGTAGTGCTGCTGCCGAGCCACTCTTGGTGGTGGATATTGAAATCCCCCACCCAGAGTACAGTTTGCCATTTTCAGTGCTTCCTCCAAGTGTTGTTCAACATGGAGGAGTACTGATGCATCAGCTGAGGGAGGACATTACATGGTAAATGCAGGAGATTTCCTTGCCCACATTCAACCTGAAGCAATGAGACTTCATGGGGTTTGGAGTCAACATTGAGGACTCCCAGGGCAACTCCCTCCTGACTGTATACCACTGTGCCACCCCCTCTGCTGGGTCTGTCCTGTTGATGGGGCAGGATATATCCATGGATGGTGATGGTTGTCTGTAGGACATTGTCTGTAAGGTATGATTCTGTGAGTATGACTGTAAGGCTGTTGCTTGATGAGTCTGAGAGACAGCTCTCCCAGTTTTGGCACTAGCCCCCAGATGTTAGTGAGGAAGTTTTTATAGGGTCAACAGTGCTGTTTCTGCCATAGTCTATTCCAGTGCCTAGGTCAATTCCAAGTGGTCCGTCCAGTTTCATTTCTTTGTTGAGACTTCATAGTGATCAATTCAAGTAAGTGGCTTGCTAGGCTGTTTCAGAGGGCAGTTAGAAGTCAGTCGTATATATTGCATATGTAAGACACTTACTTTATATAAGTGAGCTCATGGAAGATGCTTACTTTATATGTCAGCCTATATAATACACAAACCTTATGTATGTGAGCCTATGGAAGACACTTTATATAAGTGAGCCTATAGAAGGCAGTACCTTATTTCAGTGATCCGATTTAAGATGCTTACCTTATATAGGTGAGCTTATACAAGTCTTATATAATTGAGTCTATAGGAGATATGTACCTTGCATAAGTGTCCCTGTAAGACACAATAGCCTTATATAAGTGCACCTATGAGAGATGTTTACCTCATGTAAGTGATCCTGTGTGAGATATATGAGCCTATATGAGGCACTTACTTTATATAAATCAGCTTATATAAAACATTTACCTTGTATAAAAGCCTTTAGGCAATGTTTACCTTGTGTAAGCGAGTCTATGGGAGTCATTTACCATATACAAACAAACCTACAGTAGACATTTACCTTATAGAAATGAGCCTATAGGAAATGTTTACCTTACATAAGCGAACCAATAGGGGACATTTACCTGATATAAGTAAAGCCTATAGGAGATGTGTACCTGATACAAGTGAGGCTATAGGAGACAGTTACCTTATGTAAGTGAGTGCATTGCCCTCAGGGAAGTTGTATGGGTGCCGCTTACGGAAGACGTGTCCCACACGACTGCATGGGACAATCTCCAAACTTCCTCCACACATCCACACACGGAAAGATAGCTCTGGAACGGAGTGGAGAAGTTATGGGATTAAAGAAGACCCCTCAATCTCTCAAGTTCCCCTTTGACCCTCTTGGTAGCCAGCTTGCACAACTGGAATTACTAATATTATTAAACACATATCAGGCGACACGGTGGCTCGGTGGTTAGCACTGCTGCCTCTCAGCACCAGGGACCTGGGTTCGATTCCACCCTCGGGCGACTGTCTGTGTGGAGTTTGCACATTCTCCCCGTGTCTGCGTGGGTTGCTGCCATGTGCTCCGGTTTCCTCCCACAGTCTAAAGATGTGCAGGTTAGGTGGACTGGCCATGCTAAATTGCTCGTAGTGTTTAGGGATGTGTAGATTAGTTGTGTTATCCATGGGAAATGCAGGATTACAGGGATAGGGTAGGGGGACGGGTCTGGGTGGGATGCTGTTCGGAGGGTCGGTGTGAACTTGTTGGGCCAAAGGGCCTGTTTCCACACAGTAGGGATTCTATGATATCAGACAGACAGTGCAGGAAAACGGTGATGTAGACTACTGGCCAGGACAATGGTGCTGCCAGCTCATTGGGGCTGAATGGCCTCATTCTCCTCCTCTTGTTAATGCTTATAATGGGGTTATCTGAGAGCCAATTATAGCAGAGAAAATGGCCATTCAACCTGTCATGTCCACGCTGGCTCTCCAAGAAGCCATTGCAATCGGGTCAATTTCCCCACTACATCCCCACACTCCTTCACGTTTATTTCCTTCAAGTGCCTGTCCAATTATAGGACGGCCCTGCCCACTGCCTGCTTCTCGCCAGTCCTTGACACTACCTTTCGCATTTCCTGGCCCACCCTAGCCCCTGCCCCTCCCCATTCCCATTCCACCCCCTGCTTGCCCCCTTCCCTGTCCCTGCTCCTCCCCACAGCCTGCCATCCCACCCCCTTCAAGCAGAGACTGTGTTCCTCCACTGGGTCTGGAGATGGTGAAATGCCTTGTACCGATTGATATTATCACGGTCACAAAAATGGCAGAGGGAACAAGCTCACAGGGTGGTGACTCCCTCAGCAGCAGCCAATCCATTACAAAAAACATGCCTTTCCTCCCAGACCTGCATCCATAACTCACTTCAATCTAAGAGGGAATCCTCTTATTTACAATAACAAAACACAACTTGCATTTAGATAACATCGTTGACACGGTGGTACAGTCCAAATTGCTTCATGAGAATGACTCAAACAGAACTCAATCCAGGGTCACATAATGTTGAAGTGGTGCGGGAGGCAGGGAGAGACAGAAAACTTTATTGTGCATCCAACAGAATATGGGTGCTGCTGGCTGGGTCAGCACTTCATGCCTGTCCCTAACTGGCTTCAGAAGATGGTGGTGAGGTGTCTTCTTGACCAGTGCAGGTCATGTGCTGTAGGTAGACCCACAATGCCCTTACGGAGGGAATTTGACCCAGCAACACAGAAGGAATGGTGATATAGACTAAAAACAGGGGAGGCCCTTCAGAAGTATACAGAATGTAGGGGGATGCTTAAAAAAATAAATGAGAGCAAAGAGGGACCACGGAATATCTTTGGCAGATAGGATTAAGGAAAACCTCGAAGCATTTTATAAGTATGTTAAGAAGAACAGGATTACCAGGGAAAGAGTGGGGCCTATTAAAGATCAAAGGAGCAACCTGAATATGGAGCCAGAGGACATGGATGAGGTCTTCAGTGAATATTTCTCGTCTGTATTCACAAAGGAGAAAAACATTGTAGCTGGAGACTTCATTTGTGATGGTGAGGTTCGAGAGCGTGTTAAGATTAATAAGGAGGAGGTATTAGATGTTTTAGTCGGCATTAAGGTGAATAACTCACCAGGGCCTGATGAGATGTATCCCAGATACTCTGGGAGGCAAGAGAGAGGAGATTGCTGGTGCCCTGGCAGAGATATTTAATACTTCGCTGGCCACGAGTGAAGTGTCAGATGACTGGAGGATCCTTTGTTCAAGAAGGATTAGGCCAGGTAATTACAGGCCAGTTAGTCTGATGTCAGCAGTAGGGAAACTATTGGAAAAGATTCTGAGGATAAGATTAATCAACACTTGGAAAGACAGGGACTGATCAGGGTTAGTCAGCACGGATTTGTTAGAAGGAGATCCTCCCTGACTAATTTAATTGAATTTGTTTGGAAAGGTGACTAAATATATTGATGAGGGTAGTACAATTCATATGGTTCACATAGACTTCAGTAAGGCCTTTGACAAGGTTCCACATGGAAAGCTGGTCCAAACGTTAAGAGGCCATGGAATCCAAGGCAAGTTGACAAACTAGATCCAAAACTGGCGCTCAAATAGGAGGCAAAAGGTGATGGTGGAGGGTTGTTTTTGTGATTGGAAGACTGTGACCAGCGGTGTACCAAAGGGAATGGTGCTGGGATGCTTTTTTTATGTTTGGCATGTATATTAATGATTTGGGTACGAATGTAGAAGGTAGAAATAGAAAGTTTGTAATGATACAAAGATTGGTGGTGCTGTTGATAGTGAGGGGGATGGTCTCAGGTTACAGTCTGATATTGATCAGCTGGCAATTGGGCAGAGCAATGGCATATGGAATTTAATCCCAATAATGTAAAATAATGCATTTTGGAATAAGGGAATATACATAGTTAATGGTAGGTCCCTGAGCAGTACTGAGGAACAAAGGGACCTTGGTGCACAAGTCCTGAAGGTGCAGGTACACAAGGTGGTGAAAAAGGCATACGGGATACTTAGAGATATTAAGAACTGCCAATGCTGGAGACTAAGACAACACAGTGTGGAGCTGGAGGAACACATCAAGACAGGCAGCATCAGAGGATCAGGAAAGCTGATTTTTCGGGTCGAGACCCTTTTTCAGAAATGGGGGAGGGGAAGGGGTCTCTGAAATAGAGAGTGGGGGTTGGACTAGGAAAGGTAGGTTGGATGGTGATAGCAGGTAGGTAGTGGTGGGGATTGGTCAGTGAGGTGCGAGGAACGGATAGGTGGGAGAGAAGACGGACGGGTCAAGGAGGCGGGTACAAGAGGGAGGATTCATCTTGGGACGAGGCCGGGGATGGGGAGATTTTGCAGCTAGTAAAGGTGGGATGGCAATAGGTGAGTGCTGGTAGGTAGTGGTGGGGATTGGTCAGTGAGGTGGGGGAGCTAGTCTTGGGATGAGGTCGGGGGTGGGGAGATTTTGAAGCTAGTATGGTCCACATTGAGAAAATTGGGTTGTAGGCTTCCAAGGCGGAATGTGAGGTGCTGTTCCTCCAATTTCTGGGTGGCATCGTTGTGACACTGGAGGAGGCCCAGGATGGACATGTTGTCCAGGGAGTGGGAGAGGGAGTTGAAATGGTTCGCAGCTGGAAGGTGTTGTCGTTTGTCGCGAACCGAGCGTAGATACTCTACAAAGCGTTCTCCGACCCTCTGCTTGGTCTCACCGATGACCACATTAGCGGATGTGCAGGTGGTGGAGGAGGAAATGGATGTTTGTGATGTGGTGCCAATCAAGTGGGCAACTTTGTCCTGAATGGTGTCAAGCTTCTGGAGTGTTGTTGGAGGTGCATTCCAGACAAGTGGGGAGTATCCCACACACTCCTGACTTGTATCTTGCAGATGGTAGACAGACTTTGAGCAGTCAGGAGATGAGTTGTTTGCCATAGTATTCCTAGTTTCTGGCCTGCTGTTGTAGTTACAGTATTTGTATGGTGAGTCCAGTTCAGTTGCTAGAATGTTGATATTCAGTGATGGTAATATACGTTGAATGTCAAAGGACGGTGACTGGATGGTTTCTTATTGGAGATGGGCATTGCCTGGCATTTGTGTGGCAGGAATGTTATTTGCCACTTTAAACTCAAGCCTGGATATTGTCCAGGTCTTGTTGCATTTGAACACGGACTGCTTCGGTATGCAAGGAGTCGCGAATGGTGCTGAACATTGTGAAATCATCAGTGAACATCCCCATTTCTGACCTTATGATGGAGGGAAGGTCATTGATGAAGCAGCTGAAGATGGGCACAGGACACTGCCCTGAGGAACTCCTACAGAGATGTGCTAGAGATGAGAATGAGAGCTCAGATCTCTTATATTTATTGGAGTGGGGCTTGTTCACACAGAGAAATGAAGACACATTTCTCTTGTATTTTGGCAGTATTGGAGATTTTGGATCAATTGTTCCAAAAACAGGTACTCAGCAAACTCACTGCTCCCACTCTCACACTATCCATCAGGCACTGGCAGCCATGTTGGACAGCGATGACAAACCCTCACAGACCCTCCCATCAGGATTTGGAGTCTTCACAACTCTTTTCTCTCCCAAGTATTACCAGGCTAGCCGAGGGGCCGTGCTGTCCACGTTCAGAGTTAAGAGGGGCTGGGTGGAAGTCTTACTCACTCGAGGGAGTGCTGCGCTATCAGAGGAGCTAACTTTTTAATGAGAGGTCAAGCAAACACACCGCCTGTTCCCTCAGGTGACGATAACGATTCTGTGGCCACAATTCAAAGAGGATCAGAGGAATTCACCTGGTCATCTGACAGCAGCGGATAAGCTTCCTGCTACAGTTTCTAACACAAACATTCACCAGTGAACAGAGCAACCAACAGCATTCAGTCATTAACCAACACCTCCCCCCAACCACGAGAATAATTATAAACACTCACCAAAATTTTCACCACCCCAAATGTCCATCTGCGTGTCGTATTTCCCAAGGTGGTTGAACCAGGACTTATTGATGACAAATATCCCTCCAGCAATAACTGGGGTCCTACAGAAATAAAACAGTGTCAGTCATGGGCCTTCTTTTACACTTGCATGGAATGCAGACGTTGCTAGTATTTATTGCCTGTCCCTAGTTGCCCCTCGAGAAGGTGGAAGTAAGCTGCCTTCTTGAACCGCTGCAGTCCATGTGTTGTAGGTAGACCCACATTGCCCCCAGGGAGGGAATTCCAGGAATCTGACCCAGTGACACTGAAGGAACGGCGATATATTTCCAAGTCAGGATGGTGAGTGGCTTGGAGGGGAACTTGTCGGGGATGGTGTTCCCATATATCAGCTGCCATTGTACTTCTAGATGGAAGTGGTCACGGGTTTGAAAGGTGCTGTGTGAGGTGATTTTCTGCAGTGCATCTTGTAGATACTACATCACTAATACTACTGAGTGTCAGTGGTGGACGGAGTGGATGTTTGTAGATGTGGTGCCAATCAAGCAGGCTGCTTTATCCTGGAGGTATCAAGTATCTTGAGTGTTATTGGAGCTGCCCCCAACAACATCACACTCTAGACATGTGCATTCTAGATAGTGGATAGGCTTTGGGGAGTCAGGAGGTTAGTTACTTACCACAGTATTCCTAGCATCTGAGTTGTTCTTGTAGCCACTGTGTTTATATCAAATCAATCATAGAAATCATAGAATCCCTACAGTGTGGAAATAGGCCATTCGGCCCAACAAGTCCATACGGCCCCTCCAAAGAGCATCCCACCCAGAGCCATTATCCTACCCCTGCATTTTCCCATGTCTAACCCAGCTAACTTAAACATTCCTGAACACTACGGGCAATTTAGCATGGCCAATCCACCTACCCTACACATCTTTGGACTGTGGGAGGAAACCAGAGCACCCGGAGGAAACCCCCGCAGACATGGGGAGAACGTGCAAACTCCACACAGACAGTCGCCTGAGGGTGGATTTGAACCCAGGTGGCAGCAGTGCTAACCACTGAGCCACTGTGCCACCCCTATGTCACTAGTTCAGTTCAGTTTCTAGTCAATGGTAGCCCCTAGGATATTGTTAGTGGGGCATTCAGTGATGGTAGCACCATTGAATGTCAAGGGGTGGTGATTAGATTGCCTCCTGTTGGAGATGGTCATTACCTGGCATTTGTCAGAGATAAATGTCACTTGCCACTTGTTAGTCCAAGCCTGGATATTGTCCAGATCTTGTTGCATTTGAACATAGATTGTTTCAGTATCTGAGGAGTCACGAATGGTGCTGAACTTGGTGCAAATATCAGTGAACATCCCCACTTATGACCTTATGATGGGGGGAATGTCATTGATGAAGAAGCTGAAGATGGTTGGGCCTACGAGACTACCCTGAGGAACTCCTGCAGAGATGTCCTGAAGCTGAGCTAACTGATCTCCAACAACCACAACCATCTTCCTATGAGTTGGGTGTGACTCCAGCCAGTAGAGAGTTAGTCCTCTGATTCCCACTGATTCCAGTGTTGCCGGGGCTCCTTGAGGACATATGCAGCCTTGATGTCAAGAGCTGTCACTCTCACCTTATCTCTCAAATTCAGTTATAGAGTCATAGACTCAGAGCTGTACAGCACGGAAACACACCCTTCAGTCCAACACGTCCATGCCAACCAGATAGCCTAAATAAATCTAGTTCCATTTGCCAGCATTTGGCCCATATCCCTTTAGACCATTCCTATTCATATACACTTCCAGATACCTTTCAAATGTTGAAATTGCACCAGCCTCTACCCCTTCCTCTGCAGCTCATTCCATACATGCAACACCCTCTGCATAAAAAAGTTGCCCCTTAGGTCCCTTTTAAATCTTTCCCTTCTCACCTTAAACCTATGCCCTCTCGTTTCGGCCTCCCCCACCCCAGGAAAACACCTTGACTATTCACTCTATCCATGCCCCTCATGATTTTATAAATCTCTATAAGGTCACCCCTCAGCCTCCGACACTCGAGGGAAAATAGTCCCAACCTATTCAGCCTCTCCTTCCCTGGCAACATGTTTGTAAATCCGAATTGCTTTCTTTTAGTCCATGTTTGAACCAAGGCTGTAATGAGGTCAGGAGCTGAGTGGCCCTGGCAGAACCCAAACTGGGCAACACTGAGCAGGTTATTTCTAAGCAGGTGCTGCTTGATTGCACTTTACTGATGATTGAGAGCAGACTGATGGAGTGGTAATTGGCCGGTTGGATTTGTCCTGCTTTTTGTATACAGGATATACCTGGGCAATTTTCCAAATTGTTGGGTAGTTGCCAAAGTTATAATTGTACTGGAAGAGCTTGATTCGGGGAGCAGCAAGTTCTGGACCACAAGTCTTCAGTACTATTGCCAAAATGTTGGTTCAAATCTCACTCCAGTATCTTGGGCTTCAGCTCCAGGCTGACAGTCCCAGCACCCTCATAGTTCCCTTTATTTACATTCAGAACCTTAGTTTCAGATCAGACTACTTGACTCTCCATCTTAATGAAGAATTCTACTATATATGGTCTCTCTTTCCCAAGCGATCTCTTATAACAAGACTGCTAATTAATCCTTTCTCAATTTTCAGTATTGAGTCTAGAATGGCTTGTTATATTAAAATGAAGAACTATGGATGCTGAAAATCTGAAACAAAAACAGAAATTGCTGGAGAGATAACGTTTCACATCCAGTGACTCTGGTTCGGTGGATTCTGACGAAAAGTCACCGGATTTGAAACGTTAATTCTGCTTCCTCCCCATAGATACTGCCAGACCTGCTGAGTTTGTGCAGCAATTTCTGTTTTAGAATAGCCTGTTCTCTGGTTGGTCCCATATTGGTCTAAAAAAATAACCCTATCATTTACAAATTCCAGGAATCCTCCTCCACAATACTATTGCCAGTTTAGTTTAAGGTTCTTGAGTAGATTTGTAGCTCAGGTTGTGGATGCTGTGGTTGGTTCGCTCGCTAAGCTGGTTTGTTAGTTCGCAGACATGTCATTACCCTGCTGGGTAACATCATCAGTGCAGTGTCTGATAAAGCGCTGTTGTGTTTTCCCACCTGATATTTAAACTCTGGAGTCCATTGGATTGTCCTTACATTGGACAGACAGGAAGGAAACTGGCCACAAGAATACATGAACACCAACTAGCAACAAAAAGACATGACCAGTATTCACTCGTCTCCATTCACACGGATAAAGAGAACCACCAGTTCGATTGGGACAAGATCAGGATCCTGGGACAGGCCAAACAGAGACAAGCACGGGAATTTCTAGAGGCTTGGTTCTCCACCAACAAGGCCATCAATAAACAGGTAGAATTAGACCCTATATGTACTCCACTATGAAGGAAAACCAGAAATGAGGTAACCAATTCCAACAGACCCCAGAGTTTAAATACTAGGTGGGAAAACACAACGGCGCTTCATCGGAGGCTGCACTGATGAGGTTACCCAGCAGGGTAATGAAACGTCTGCAAACTAACGAACCAGCTCGGCGAGCCAACCAACCGCAACAGTTTAGTTTGTCAAACTACACGTAAATTAAAATCACCCAAGGTTACAGTCACAAACCTCTCTGATTTACTGTTTAATGTCTTCCCTTACATCTCCACTATTGTGTGGGGGCCTATAATCAAGCCCCAACAACAGTTTATGCCTCTTGATGTTTCTTATCTCCATCCATACAGATTCCACAGCCTTATTATCTGAGCCAATACTCTGCCTCACTATTGCATTGATTTAATCCTTTACTAAACAATGCTACTCCACCTCCTTTTCTGATTTGTCTATCCTTCCTAAATATTGAATACTCCTGATGTGCGGTTCCCATCCTCAATCACCCTACAACCATGTTTCCATAACTAACTGTGTCATAACCATGTAACAAGGAGCAGAGAGGCTGACGTTTCGGGCCTAGACCCTTCATCAGAAAAGGGGGAGGGGAAGGGGGTTTTGAAATAAATAGGGAGAGAGTGGGAGGCGGATAGAAGAGGGATAGAGGAGAGGATAGGTGGAGAGGAAACAAACAGGTCGAAGAGGCGGGGATGGGGCCAGGAAAGGTGAGTGTAGGTAGGGAGTTAGGAAGGGGATAGGTCAGTCCAGGGAGGACGGACAGGTCAAGGGGGCGGGATGAGGTTGGTCGGTAGGAGATGGAGGTGCGGCTTGGGGTGGGAGGAGGGGATAGGTGGGAGGAAGAACAGGTTAGGGAGGCAGGGACGAGTTGGACTGGTTTTGGGATGCGGTGGGGGGAGGGGAGATTTTGAAACTTGTGAAATCCACATTGATACCATTGGGCTGCAGGGTTCCCAAGCGGAATATGAGTTGCTGTTCCTGCAACCTTCGGGTGGCATCATTGTGGCACTGCAGGAGGCCCAGGATGGACATGTCGTCTGAGGAATGGGAGGGGGAGTTGAAATGGTTCGCGACTGGGAGGTGCAGTTGTTTGTTGTCCCTCTTCTATCCGCCTCCCACTCTCTCCCTATTTATTTCAAAACCCCCTTCCCCTCCCCCTTTTCTGATGAAGGGTCTAGGCCCGAAACGTCAGCCTCTCTGCTCCTATGATGCTGCTTGGCCTGCTGTGTTCATCCAGCCCTGCACCTTGTTGTCTCGGATTCTCCAGCATCTGCAGTTCCTACTATCTCTCATAACCATGTATATCTGTTTACCATGTTAATTCATCTACCTTATTGCAAAGTGTGCTGTTCTGTTTTTAAGGAGTTTGCACATTCTCCCCATGTCTGTGTGGGTTTCCTCTGGGTGCTCCGGTTTCCTTCCACAGTCCAAAGATGTGCAGGTTAGGTTGATTGGCCATGCTAAATTGCCCGTAGTGTTCAGGAAGGTGTAGATTGGGTGGCTTATAGGGGGATGGGTCTGAGTGGGATGCTCTGAGGTTCGGTGTGGACTTGTTGGGCCAAAGGGCCTGTTTCCACACTATAGGGATTCTATGATTCAAACATTCCATGCTTAACTCACAACGTCTTTAGACTGGTCTTCTTTACTTTGTTAGTCATCCCAACTTTATTTTGCACAATTTCCCCATTTGTTTCCCACCCTTGTTTCTCTGCCTTCCACTTTTGCTTCTTGTCTCTTCTGTTCCTATCCTACGGTGGTTCAGTGGTTAGCACTGCTGCCTCATAGCACCAGAGACCCGGGTTCGATTCCACCCTTAGGCGACCGTCCGTGTGGAATTTGAACGTTCTCCCTGTGTCTGTGTGGGTTTCCTCCCACAGTGCAAAGATGCTCAGGTTAGGTGGATTCACCATGCATATTGTCCACGGTGTCCAGGGATGTGCAGGTTAGGTGGGAAATGCAGGGTTACAGGGACAGTGTAGGATGGTGGGTCCGGGTGGAATGCTCTTTGGAGGGTTGGTGTCAACTCGACGGGCCAAATGGTTTGCTTCCACACTGTAGGGATTCTATGATACTGACTAGCACTAGCAGACACACCCCGAGCACACTGGTCCCAATCCTGCCCTTATAACGTCAGGGAGGGTTTGGGTTCACGATGGGTGCGCTGGGTTCCAGCACCAGTCCTGCTTCCTGGAAATATCCCAGCGCAAGCCCCACACTCCGGCACATCCTCTGGACTCCAGGGCAAGACCCAAATCCCAGAATCAATCCAACATTCCAGGTATTTGAACATCCCTGTGTCACATGGGGGCCATTTTAACATTCGAAGATGGTGTCAACTGGCAGTGCTGAATTGACCACTGATCACCAACACAACCCCTGATTTGTCAAATATCTCTCGAACATCATGGTTTGTTTCTAGACCACACTGTGCTGAATCCAGTGCTTACCGTATTGATTCAGTCGGGTCAGACCGCACCATTTTCTGTTCAATAGGCATCTGCTCCCATTTAAAATGCAAACTCCAGTCAAACCCTATGACGAAATGAGGGAAGGAGGGAAAACAGCAAGATGAACAGAGAGAAATCGAACTGATAAGGATAAGATTGTGCTGAGACAATATCACATTTGAAGTGGAGGCGAAAGCTTAGTGGTATTATCACTGAACTGTTAATCCAGAGACCCAGATAACATTCTGGGGACCCAGGCTCAAATCCCGCCACGGCGGATGGTGGAATTTGAATTCAATAAAATACCTGGAATTAAGAATCTAATGATGACTGTGAATCCATTGTCAATTGTTGGAAAAACCCTTCTAGTTCACTAATGCCCTTTAGGGAAGGAAACTGCTATCTTTATCTGGTCTGGCCTACATGTGACTCCAGACCCACAGCAACGTGGTTGACTCTTAACTGCCCTCTGGGCAATTAGGGATAAACAGTAAATGCTGCCTAACCAGCGACATCCTGATCCTGTTAATGAATACCAAAAGAAATTAAAGAATCACAAGCTAGACACAGAGGAGAAAGTCCTTTGCTCAATCACCGAGATGTTTACATGTCCCCTCTTCATGTTAATTTCCACATCCCCATCACTGGCTAGGTCAGTATTTAATTTATAATTTTTAACCAGCCTGTTACCACACACCTCTGGAGCGGCCTTGAACTCAGGCCTCCTGGCCCAGAGGTAGGGACATTACCACTGTACCACAAAAGCCCTGTTAGGACAGTATTTATTGCCTGTCCCTAATTACCCTTGAGGTGGTGAGCTGCCTTCTTGAACCGCTGCAGGTAGACCCTCAATGCCCTTAGGGAGGAAATCCCATGACTTTGACCCAGTAACACTGAAGGAACAGCAGTACATTTCCAAGCCAGGATGGTGAGGCGCTCAGAGGAGAACTCATAGGTGACATGCTCCCACATGGTTGCTGCCTTTGTTTATCAAGCTGCGAGTACGTGCCCTGAATTAATGCAAGATTTTCTCCTCTCTGAGGACCATTACAAAACCAACTGTCACTCTTTGAACTGAGGGCACCTAAAACCACTGGGGAAATTGAGAGACATTTACATTTGGTCAATTTCTCAACTGCACGGAATTGAAACGGGGAAATCTGTCCCGGTGAGATCGGGCACACAATTAAATTGGCTTGTGGTTCACAAACGTCTAATTTTGTCTTAAAGTTAACAAAAGGGCCTGGCAGTTTTGACAAGCAGAGGAACGAGACTCACCCCTCCACCCCACTTTACCAAACCACTTTGTGATCCCGGCATGAGACTCCTGGCTTTGAAATGAAGCAAAGTGCAACATGCCAAGTTGAACCAATTTAGCCCATCACTACAATCCAGATTTTGAAACTGAGGAATGAAAGGAGGCCATTCAGCCCCCTCATGTCTGTCCCACCATGAAATGACATTGGATCTTGCCTCTGTGACACTTTATATCCTTATTGAGCAACGTCAATACGGAAATGTTTTTCCTTGACCCAGACTGTGTGGGAGAGCTTTCCAGATTTCAGCTTTCCCACTTTGAGTGAAGATGTGATTCCCAGCACCAATTTACAATGTTCGGACTCTACCTTTAAGGATATGCATTCTTTCTATAGACTCCGACACCTGAGTATTAGTTTCTATCGCTCTTACACCAACTCCTTTAATTGCTTTCAACAGCCTCAGAATCACTCCTTAAATACAGCCGCATCATGCTTGGGCCTCTCAGTTACAGTAATGGCCCCAGTCCAGATGTGACGTGAAGTTCAAATCATTAATTACTGGACTGTCAACGTTTCCAGACTTTCACATTTTGCATTCTTTCCACTGGCAGCAAAACATTCTCCTCTCATGTTCAAAACATTCCAAGACCAATGAATGGCACATCCAAGGATCTCTTTGTATTCCGAACTCTTTGAATCAATGCAGAGCCAGCAGTGTAACTGGGGTCTACGGATTCTGCATCACCAAATAAACAGGGGACGATCCCAATCCTGGTTTGCGGTAAAGGGAAAGAATACTGCATCTCAGCCGCGCCTCAGAGTCAGAGGTTCAAATCCTAATCCAGTGATGTCAACACACTGATACTCCAGTGTATTGCTGATGGTGTGCTACACTGTCAAAAGTGATGTCTCTTGGATCAGACATTAAAATGAAAAAAGTGTCTGTTCTCTCTGGGGAATGTAAAAAGATCCTGTGGCACAACCTTATAGAATAACAGGGGAGTTCTCTCTGGCATCCAGGGCTACATTTATCCTCATTTCGAAAAAGACGATCGTTCAAAAGGGATGGGTTTCACTTGAACTGGAGGGGGACCAATATCCTGGCGGGGAGATTTGCTAGTTCTATTAGGGAACCTTTAAACTAGTAGGGAGAGGGGTTGGAAGGATCCTAAGTAGTAGTGAGAATATAGAGTGACAGACAAGGATGGTTTTGAAGTTGAAGAGAGCAAGTTAATTAGACAAGACAGGCAGGAGCAAGTCAGAGAACTCTGAAGAATTAAACTGCATTTATTTCAATGCAAGGGGTCTTACATATAAGGCTGATAACCTCAGCGTATTTATGGGTACATGGGACTGGAACATCATAGCTGTTGCAGAAACACAGCTGAGGGAGGACTGGCAGCTCAGTGTTCTCAGGTTTAGATGCTATGGAAAGGGAGGCAAGTGAGGAGGGGGAATGGCATTTTTGATTAGGGAAAACATTACTGCTGTACTTAGAGAGGATATTTCTGAGGAATCATCCAGTGAATCTATTTGAGAGGAACTGAGAAATAGGTAAGGGATGATTACCTTAACAGGATTGTACCTTGATAGGCATCTAATAGTCAGAGGGAAACTGAGGAGCAAATATGTAGAGAGATCTCAGTTATCTGCAAGAATAATACGGTGGTAATAATAGGGGATTTTAACTTTCCAAACGTAGCCTGAGACTGCATAGTGTTAAGGGCTTGGATAGAGAGGAATTTGTTAAATATTTTTAAGAAAGTTTTCTTTATCAATGTATAGATGTACCTACTAGAGAAGGAACAAAACTTGACCTTCTTGTTGGAAATAAGGCAGGGTAAGTGACGGAGGTGTTAGTTAGGGAGCACTTTGGAACCAGTGATTACAATTCTATTAGTTTTAAAATAGTTATGGAAAAGGATAGGCTTTATATAAAAGTTAAAGTTCATAATTGGAGTAAGGCAAATTTTGACAGTATGAGACAAGAACTTTCAAAAGTTGTTTAGGGTAGTCTGTTCGCAGGTAAAGGGACGACTGGCAAGTTGGAGGCTTTCAAAAGTGAAGTAACAAGTTTGGAGACAGTATACTCTTATTAGAGTGAAGGGTAAGGCTGGTAAGGGTAGGGAACAATGGATAAACAGAGATATTGAGGTTTTAGTCAAGAATAAGGAGGAGATATATGTTAGGTATAGACAACTAGGATCAAGCGAATCTCTTGAAGAGTATAAAGAGTCTAGGGGCATTCTTAAGAGGGAAATCCGAAGGGCAAAAAGGAGATATGAGATAGCCTTGGCAGATAAGGTTTCTCTCCATCAAAAACTTGCCAGGGTCAGTGCTCCATGCTTTCAAATGATTCAATAGTATAGGTGGATCTCTGGCAGAGGCCTTCAGGACAAAGCTCAAGACTGGAGTGAAATCAGGAAGCCCTTTGCCACACAATGACAACCAGGAATCTGGGAGGTTCACCCTCCAGAAACTTCAGGGAACATTGTGAGATTTTCATTGCGAGTATCGAGGGATTTGGAGTGAAGGTCAGGTAACCGCCACCCAAGTCTCACCAAGGGTCCTTAGATAGCACCTTCCAAATACACAACCTCTACCATCTGGAAAGACAAGCACAGCAGATTCATGGGGGCACCACTCACCTGCAAGTTCCTCTCCAAACCACTCACCACTCTGACTCAGAAATATTCCTTCGGTGTCACTGGGTCAAAATCCTGGAACTTCCTCCCTAACGGTATCGTCAGTCAGCAGGTGGACTGTAGCGGATGAAGAAGGCAGCTCACCACCACCTTCTCAAGGGGCAACTAGGGATGGGCAATAAGTGCTGGGCCCAGCCGGTGATGCCCACGTGCCATGAATGAATAAAAGAAAAATGGATTGGAGATACAGATCAAGCACGATTTAAATAAAAGACAGACCACCCTGTGATAGGTACTATACAAATGCAGGACATCTATTTTGGAAACGGCATACAGAGGCTCAATTCGCTCACCTCCCACACTCAAAGAGATATGATCATTCTGAGGAGGGAAGCAGGGTCAACAGGCCAAATGGCCTACTCCCGCCATTGGTTTCTACATATTCTTACCTAGGAAGTCATGCTTTCAGATGGAGTGAAGGTAAGAAACTAGGGTTTAAAAAGCAGAATGGGTGATAGGCCAAAATGGACAATTCCAGTTTCTATAAAATCCAATCAACAACAACCAGTGGAGAGGTTATTTTAATTCAACAGCCCGACAGGAGATTGGGGATTGCCTTCACATAAAGGTTAAAATTTGCACCGGTGTAAACAGGCACCTAATGCAGGGCAGCTGGGTCTAAATTCGCCCCAGTTTCTAAACGTGTACTCAGTGTTCAGACAATTCACAACATGGCCAGCTAGTCAGAATTTCTCATATCGTGTAGGCTCAGGCCTAGTCTTCTCTGCCACGGTTTCTTGACCAGGTTTCTGAAACTAAGCGTTAATAGTCAGAAGCACCTGTGTACCTACCTCCTCTCAGATCCGCAGATGCTGCCAGGTAAGCAAAGTTGTCCAGGCTTATGACATCAATGATGGGACTCGCTACGCGGGTGTAATCCTAGGGGGGGTGGGGAAGACAAGATGGCTACAGTCAACATGGCAGAACAGCAATTGTACAATGGGGAAAAGGGAATTAATTACAGGACACCTCCAATACAAGAAAGCATTCACAGAACATCACTTCCTCACGATGGTCCAAGCATTGTAAAGTCAATGGATTCGTGTTTGAAGTGGGGTCTGGTTCTTAAGACTTGGCCAATCATAGCACAGCAAGATCCGACAGGCAATGAACCGAATGAGTGATCTGGCAGTCTGCCGGTTGTCGTCTAATGCGATTTACGTAAATCATGATGAAAAAAAGAGGATTGGAAAACTGCCAATCCTCACTTTTGCCAAACTGCCAACTCCCTTTATTTGAGAAGGGAAGGAGACAAAAAGAAAAGAAAACAGGTAGCTATAGGCCAGTGAGCTTAACGTCTGTTATTGGGAAAATGCTAGGGTCTGTTATGAAGGATGTAACAGCAGATCGTTTAGAAATGCATAACATGATCAAGCAGAGTCAGCATGGTTTAGAAGAATGAGGTGACCTCATTGAAACATGCAAGGTTCTTACGGGACTTGAAAAAGGGAGATGCAGAAAGGTTATTTCTTCCTATGGGAGATTCTAGGACTGGAGGGCATCATCTCAGAGTAAGGGATCGCCATTGAGTGGTGGAGCAGACTGAATGGACTTACTCCTGCTCCTAATGGCCTTTTGTAACTGACCGATATCGGTAAGACAGAAGACAATAGTCTAAGAGAGTCTCCCATGTAGAGATGTAAATAGAGGAGAATGACAGAACATAAGGATTTGAAAACCCTTACTTAGAGGTGAGGACCAAGTAGCCTCAGGGACAGTGTACGTACTGACACCCACAGTCGGAAATACTCCAGACAAGGACCTCAGCGGTCAGGTGGCAGTGTGGGCTTAAAGTGGCAGGAGGAGGGAAAAATGTCATCCAGAAAAGCAGCAGCATTTATTGTTCTTCAAGAAAGAATACAAAGGAATCTTTCACAGCCACCTGACAGAGCACACTGCCTGAAGTATTGCACTGTTGTTTGTTGCAGCACTCACCCTGAGTCAAAGGGTCCCCTCTGGCAGAGACTAGAGTATCTAATCCAGGCGGACTCCCCAGTGCAGTGCTCTGTCACCGTCTGAGGTGCCATCTTTCAGACGCGCGTCTGTCTGTCTGTCTGATGGCAGTGCTGTAAAGATTCCATGGCACGTGTCTGTAAGGGGGCAGGGGTGATCCCCCCACCACCCCACCTCCTGTGAATGGCCAATGTTTAACCCTCAATCAACATCACAAGAACAAAGGATCACATCGCTGCCTGTGGGATCTTGCTGTGTACCAACTAACTGCCACAGTTCCTACGTTTCATCATTGACAATGCTTTCAAAAGTGTCCTCATTGGCTGCAGAGGATTCTGCAGCATCCCAAGGTTGTGGAAGATGCTATACGAATGCAGTTCTTTCTCTACTTCAACTCGAAACAGCCTCAGTATCTACCCCGAGGAGCAGAGTGATGGGCGGGGTGGCCGGGGCGTGTTGGAGGGAAAGAGAGAAAGCAGAGAGAAAAAATGTTCAACACAATCAGAAAACATATATAGTGCCTTAATAATCACTCTGATCAAGAAACACCTTGCTGAGGGAAATGCACCTCATTCCTCTCTATCTTCACCAGACCAGACCAGTGACATCCCATTCAGCTTGCTCTGAAAATCAGCCGAATTGGTGCTCCTTCGTAGCAACGAGAAGGATTATCTCTTACCACTGGCCCTCCACAAACTGATGCACTTCCTGTGAGAGAGACTATCAGGAAATAGCATCCCACCGAGTGGACGAAGGTTCCCTAGGGAAACGGGCAAACTCTGGGAGACAGATCAATGCCAGCCTCCAAAACCCACTACCATCCTGACTTGGAAATGTATCACCATTCCTTCAGCATCACTGGGTCAAGATGCTCGAACTTCCTCCCTAAGGGCACTGGGATGAAGTGCCCCTAGGACTGCAGCAGTTCAAGACGACAGCTCACCCCCACTTTCTCAACAGCACTTAGGGACAAATGCTTGACCATAGGACCATGTGGAACAGGAACAGGAGCAGGTTGTTCAGCCCCTCGAATTAGCTCCACCATTCTATAGCTTTACAACTGATCCCATACTCCTCATGTCCACTTTCCTCCTGTAATCTTAGATTCACGAATAGATCAGGAATCTATTCATCTCAGCCTTATCTCTCTATCTTAGCTTGAGGATGGTTTACCCCTAGCTCTGAGGGTTGTCACTTTAACAAAACCACATGTGTTTTACCCATCGCACCATACCCTCTCTTCTTCCTACCCCTGAACTGCCAACGCCATTCGAATACAAGAATGACTTCCAGAGACTCACGTCTTTCACTCGTTGTAAGAGGGGTTGCAGCCAGTCCGTATTCACCTCACAATGACTGTCAAGGAAGGTCAGGACCTCTGCAGTCGAGGCATCTGCTCCCTTCACCCGAGACCGGATCAGGCCTGTAAACAGAGAAAAATTTTACCCTGAAACGGCCACCACCTGCCTTTTAAGCCACTTCGCAGGAGTTTGGGACGTATCGGACATGTAACCAAAAGTGTGGTCAAGGAAGTAGGTTAAGGATTGCCTTAAAGGAGGAGAGAAATGGGAAAGTGGAGAAATCTAGAAATTCTACAGATTGGGGCCTTGGTAGTTGAAGACACAGCCACCAATGGTGAAATGATTCAAAATCATGGATTAAAATTAAAAAAGGGGCCAGAATAAGAAGAGTACAGGAATTTTAAAGGTCAGTTAGACACTACAATCGTATACTTTTGGTTTTATTCTAATTGACTCATCACAAAACTTAGAACCATAGAAATGATACAGTGCAGAAGTGGTGGGGGGGTCATTCGGCCCATTTTGTCCATTCCAACCCAAAGACATCCAGACACCCTTCTAATCCCATCTTCCTGCACATGGACCCATTGATCTGCAGCTTACACCACTTTAATGTGCAAATCCAGGTACTTTTAAAAAGAGTTTAGGGTCTTTGCCTCCACCACTGATTCAGGCAGTGAATTCCAGACACCAACCAACTAGTTCCCCATCTCTCCCCTCTCTACAGAACCAGCCAAGTGCTCATTTCTTAACTGCCATAGATTCATCACCTACTCCCTTTGGTCTCAGGCATCATTGTCAGACCCTACTAGATGATAACAGGGGAAACAGCAGTGGAGCTTACAGAGTAAAGGGAGGGCTGAGGATACGGAGGGGCTCACAGACCCTGGGCTGTTGAATGGTTGCATCGATCCACCAGTAATTCAGCCTTTCCCCCTGGGCACAGGGACCACCTTTAGAATTGGCGCAATGTCTTTCTGGACCCACACAGCTGGGGGGCTTCAGGTTTGGTCCTCGACTGTGCCAGTTATTTTGATCTTATGACACTTTGGTTGCCCTCTGATAGAAGAAAGGACCACAGGGAATGTAATCCAGACAAATTTCTACAGAAATCGCTGAACCCTCGTGTTCCCTCCCAGAGAACAATCAGCAAGGGAATGGTAATCGGGAGTGGTGATGTGTGTTGATCCTGAGGATGGGAACACAAGAGGGGAGAGGTCATGCTCCGGTTGCACAAAGCCTTGGTTCAATCATACCTGGGTCTGTACAGTGGAAGGAAGTGCTGGCTTTAGAAAGTGTGCACTGTAGTTTAGCCAGAATGATCATGAACTGTAAGGGATTAATTATTAACTGAGATTACATTAACTTTCTGGGGAATACAAGTTTACCAGACACTCAGGGCAACAAGAGAGAAACTACCCTCCTGGTGAGAGAGACTAGGTACGGGAGAATAGTCAAAAAAGATTCAAGATGGCTTCATTTTAAGGGATAATAGTTGGAGTACCTCAAAATCCAAAAGGATGGATTTTGGGGCCCTCTGCCATGAGCAGTAATTGATGCTAGATCAGTTATTAATTTTAAATTTGAGGTTGTTAGATTTCTCCTAACCACGAGTATTAAGAGATCTGCAGCAAAGTTGGATACATGGAGTTAAATCTCAGTGAATAATGATAGGAAAGACTGAAGAGTTGAATGGTCTCCTCGTCTGCCTCAGGTCACAGGACTCCTATAGGGTCTAACCAGAGGTTAATGAACTGTAACTTCTACCTGTTTGTATTATGATTCTCATCAGATAAAGGTCAATACATTTTTAAACAGCAAAGGCATTAAGGGATATGGGCCAAAGGCAGAGTGTATGGAATTAGGCCACAGAACAGCCACTGAAGGCTGAACGGCCTACTCCTGTTCCTATGTTCAATGTTGAAGCTTTATTTTTGTTTCTGTCCACAGTAACTTCAGTACAAGAAATTCTTTGCCTCTTTTCTTATTCCCTCTTAAATATTCTAGCTAGAAAATTAGTTCAGTAGCTGATCTTGCAGACCCCCACACTGAACTCAATCCCACCTCCATTGATTTGCCTAATTTAGTTAACTTACCAATGTCCTTTGTAACTTTCAACTTTCAGCTTTCAGCTACATACATTATTTAGTGCATCAACTAACTTGGTGTCACCAGCAGACTGAGGCAAATGTCTCTCTGGTCCTTAATCTCAGCCATTTGGGTCTGGGTGGGATGATTTTTGAAGGGTCCATGTGGACTCCATGGGATAAATGGTCTGTTTCCACACTGTAGGGATTCTATGATTTCTCTTTAATACAATAAGACGTGTGGCCACTGCACTGGGGGATGAGTCATAAGCTGTTACTTTGAGAATGTATCATCTTCTCCGCACTGTCCATCTCAGTAAGGTTACCTCCAATGCATGCGCTCTCCTGGTTCAGAGGTGAGCCAGAAGATTAAATGGGGACCATATTTGAAATTGACAGAATGACACAGAACAACATCAGTGTATCCTGACTTACCTTCCCTCTTTGTGTTTCTCAAACATTTAACTTTGGGAATCTTCATTAGGAGTTCACAGTCCTCGGCTGAAAGAGAAACGAAGAGAGTCTGAGGAACATGCATGTGCCTGTTTAGTTTTTTAATATATTCAACACTAGAGGTTATTCACTGCCACCGTAAATTCATTCAAATTACCCTGGGGCTATTCACCTTATCGGTGTCCCTCATGATTTTAAAAACCTCTATAAGATCACCCCTTACCCACCAATGCTCTAGGGAAAGAAGTCCCAGCCTATCCAACCGCTCCTTATAACTGAAACCCTCCAGTCCCGCAAAACTTGCATTTATATAGCACTTTTAATGTGACCCGAGGTGCTTTTTGAACAGAGGTTGATACCAAGCCACGTAAGAATATGTCTGAGCAGTCAGAGAAGTGGATGGTTAAAGAAGTGTTGCAAGGATTGCCATAAATGGGGAAAGTGAGGCCAAAGTTTAGGGAGGGGATTCCAGAGTTTAATAGCACCTAAAGACTAGAATACCAATGGTGGAATGATGAAAATGGGCTTGCTGAAGTAGCTAGAGTGAGTGGAGCACTAAGAACCGAGGGGACTATAAGGTTAGAAGAAGTTACAAAGCAAGGGATGGCTAAAGCCACAGAGTATTTGAAATGAAGGATTAGTATTTGTCATGACAGTGGTAAAACAGGGACCATCTTTCTTTGACTTCCAGTGTTTGATTTTAATACCTAGATCTTTCGTGGTTTTAAAAAGGGGAGGCACCGACTTGAAAATGACCACATTGGCTTCCTGGAGTTTGGCTCAACCTAAGATCCAATGTGGAATAATCAAAATCATCTGAACTGAAATTCACTTTTTACCAAAAGAAACTGAAACCAGTCAGGTATGAAGAACCTTGCAGCAGCTCCTATTGTTACTTTACACCCGTATGATAAGTTTCACATGTTGGAGATTAAAAAAAAACTGGCCTGCAATTGTACAGTTTGGAAATAATGACCCAAGACACAGAAATACACAAATGAGCTGTGCTTCAAGTCACTGTTTTGGCACAGCATTGGAGAAGGATTTGTGACAATGCAACTGGAAGAATCTCTCTCTCTCTCTCTACTTTTTCTTAGGAAAAGCATAACAGCTTGGACAAACATTTGAACTCTAAGATGTCTACAAAACTCATGGCTGCTGCTGATCACTAACCAACCATGGTATACAGGCAGGACATGTGGTGCACATTCGGATGGGCTTGGAAAATATCAAGATTACAAAAGCTAGGAGGCAGTACACACTCAAAGTGCTGCAGAAACTCAGCAGAGCTCTAGCAGCATCTGTGGAGAGAGAAACAGAGTGAACATTTCAAGTCCAGACTTCTTCAGAACTAAAAGATGTAAGAAACTTCTTTTGGAGGTAGTAAGAACTGCAGATGCTACACTCAGAGATAACACAGTGTGGAGCTAGAGGAACACAGCAGGCCAGGCAACATCAGAGGAGCAGGAAAGCTGACATTTTGGTTTGGGACCCTTCTTCAGAAACTTCTTTTAATGCTTTTATCAGATGTAGAGTAGGAAGAAGAGGGGCAGATGGTGCAGAAGAGTAGTGCTAAAGACAAAGGAATTGCTACCAGTGATGAAAGAGAGAAAGAGATGTAAAACAGAAGCAAATTAAAGTTGTGAAAGGGGGCAACTGGGTTCTCTCTACTAAGTGCAGAGTTGGGGTGGCATAGTGGTTCAGTGGTTAAAACTGCTACCTCACAGTACCAAGGATCCAGGTTTGATTCCAGCCTTAGGTGACTGTGTGGAGTTTGCACATGTGTCTGTGTGGGTTTCCTCTGGATGCTCTGGTTTCTTCCCACAGCCCAAAGATGTGCAGGGTGGGTGGATTGGCCATGCTAAATTGTCCCATAGTGTCCAGGGTGGTGCAGGCTAGGTGGGCTAGTTTTGGTAAATGTGGGGTTACAGGGATAGGGTAGGGCAGCTGGGTCTGGGTGGGATGCTCTTCGGAGGATCGGTGCAGACTCAATGGGCCAAGTGGCCTCTCTCTGCACTGTAGGGAGTCTTAAAAATACTGTGGGGTGGGGCGGGGCGGTAGTAGAGCAGGACAGAATGGAAGAAAAGAAGAAGAACAGGCAGTCAGTCTCTGAAGTTATTGCATTCGATGTTGAATCCACAATTTCCATAAACAGCCTAAACAGGAAATAAGGTGTTTTCCCTTGCACTTGCATTGTGCTTCATTGGAATATTAGCGAACAGAAATGTTCACATGACAGCAAGGTGGTTTATTGGAATGGAAAGCCAATGGGAGGTCAGCATCATTCTTACGGATGGAATGGCGGTGTTTTCCGCAAAACAGTCACCCAGTCTGCCTTGGTCTCACCAATGTACAGGAAACCACAATGCGAGCAGCCAATGGGATGCTAGGAGTGTTTCATATCTGTCAAATCTAGAGATCACATGCGGATGCTGCAGGTTTCAGCAGAGGATGAGCAGGTGAGCATGATGTGACAAAGTTGAGCAATGTTACAGAGCTGGATACAATGGTGCAAACATGAGATCAGACCCTATCATGGGGTCAAACCTGACAATAAGGTTATGGTGGATTTGGAAAACACAGAAAATGATTTGATTGTAGATGCGCAGTAGCTAGTATATAACAAGGATACGATCCTCTACGACATAAACACAAAGGGTGGTCAACCGTAGTGAACAAAAGAAGCTAAATATTTGCATTATACCAAAGGATGTGCTTTATAAGGATAGTGGGATACCACAAACATGTTAGCCTGATGTCATAGGAACATATTAGAATATTTTATAAATGATTTACAGATTTGGATGAATGGGAAATAGTGGGTAAGCCTGAGAAATGGGATCAATAGAACCTCAAAGGAAGTCCAGTGGACTGAATAAGGAAAGGGAAAAGAGAGTGTGAATGTCATCTACTGAGTAACATAAATGTGACTGTAACAGCTTCTTTAGGTATTGGAGTACTGCATACAATCTGGTTCCCCTGCTATAGGAAGCATGTTATTAAATTGGAAAGGGTCCAAAAAAACATTTACAAAGATGTTACGATTGGAGGGGTTTGAGTTATAAGGAGAGGCTGGATAGGCTGGGACTTTTGTCCCTGGAGCTTAGAGGTGATCTTGCAGAGATTTATAAAATCATGAAGGACACAGATAAGGTGAATGGCAAGTGTTTTTCCCTAGAATAGGGGAGTTCAAAACGAGAGGGCATAGGTTTAAGATGACAGATTTAAAAGAGACCTGAGGGGCAATGTTTTCATGCAGAGGGTGGTCCATTGGTGGAATGAACTGCCAGAGGAAGTAGTAGAGGCAGGTAGAGTTACAACATTTAAAAGACATTTGGGCAGGTATGTGGATAGGAAAGGTTTAAAGGGATATGGGCAAACACAGGCAAATGGGACTAGTTTATTTTGGGAAACCTAGTCGGCACGGACAAATTGGACTAAAGGGTCTAGAATAAACAAAGAACAAAGAAAATTACAGTACAGGAACAGGGCCTTTGGCCCTCCAAGCCTGCACCGACCTGCTGCCCATCACAACTAAAACACCCTACCCTTTCTAGTCATATATTTGTCACTATAGTATCTACTTCCACTACCTCCCCTAGCAGTGAGTTCCAGGCACCCACCACCCTCTGTGTAAAAAAACTTGCCTCGTACATTACCTTTAAACCTTGTCCCTCGCACCTTAAACCCATGGCTCCTGGTAACTGACTCCTCCACCCTGGGAAAAAGCTTCTGACTGTCCAGTCTGTCCATTCCCTTCATAATCTTGTTGACCTCTATCAGGTTGCCCCCTCAACCTCTGTCGTTCCAGTGAGAACAACCCAAGTTTCTCCAACCTCTCCTTACAGCTAATGCCCTCCATACCAGGCAACGTCCTGGTAAATCTTTTCTGCATCCTTTCCAAAGCCACCACATCCTTCTGGTAGTGTGGGGACCAGTATTGAACACAATATTCCAAATGCAGCCATACCAAAGTTCTATAAAGCTGCAACATTACCTGCCAATTTTTAAATTCAATGCCCCGTCCGATGAAGGCAAGCATGCCGTATGCCTTGTTGACTACCTTTTCCACCTGCGATGCCACTTTCAGTGACCTGTGTACCTGTACACCCAGATCCCTCTGCCTATCAGTACTCTTAAGGGTTCTGCCATTTAGTATATTTTCCAACTGGATTAGACCTTCCAAAATGCATTACCTCACATTTTTCCGGATTAAACTGTTTCCATGTTGCATGGCTGAATGAAAAGGGAAAAAAAAACTCAGACAAATATTGGCCAATTTACAGATGGAGACATCAACAGTTATAGTGGAGAGCAGGGAAATGGCAGAGAAACTAAACAGTTGCTTTGCATCTTTCTTCACACAAAATCTCAGGAGAAATACTGGGCAACCAAGAGACTTATAAAACTGAGGAACTGAAAGAAATAGGTTTACTAAAAGGTTGTACTTGAAATGTGAACTGGGTTGAAGGTTGATAAATCCAGATGATTTCATCCCAGGGAATTGAAAGAGGTGGCTAAATAGATAGTGGATGCATTGGGGGTAATCTTTCAACATTGTAAAGTTTCTGGGAAGGTTCCTGCAGACTGGAAAGTAGAAAATGTAATCGAACTATTTAAGAAGGGATAGTAAGAACTGTAGATGCTGGAGTCAGTGATAACACAGTGTGGAGCTGAAGGAGCACAGCAGGCCAGGCAGCATCAGAGGAGCAAGAAAGTTGACGCTTCAGGTCAGGACCCTTCTTCAGAAAAAGGAGGGTCCCGATCAGAAACGTCAACTTTCCTGCTCCTCTGATGCTGCCTGGTCTATTTAAGAAGGGAGGTGGTAGGAGAATGGAGAACCACAAACATATTAGCTTGACGTTAACTGTAGGAACAAATCTGTTACAGATGATTTACAGGTTTATGAATGGGAAATTATGTATGACAATTTTTTTGTGAGTTTCTTTGAAATGACTTGTCTAATAGAAGAAAGAAGAAACCAGTGGATGTCGTGTATTTGAATTTTCAGAAGGCTTCTGTAAAGGTTCACGTGAAGTGAGTAAATAAAATGAAAATGCTCCAGATTGAACAAATTATAGTATTATGGATCGAGAATTGCTTAGCAGACAGAAAATAGAGTAGAAATAAACTGATCATTCTCAGTATAACAGACTGTTATTAGTGGGATAACACAAGGGTCAGTGCTAGGGCTACATTTATAATCGATGTCTATGATTTTCATGTGGGGAACCAACTGTATTATTTCCCGATTTGCTGACGAAACCAAATAGGGTGGGGAAATCAATTTGGGGACTCAAAGAGGCTTCAAGAGGACTTGAACTGGTGAAGTGAATAGGCTAGAACATGGCAGATGGAATATAATGTGAAGTTATTCACATTGGATGAAAAAGCAAAAAGGCAGACAGTGGAGAGGGGTTGGGAAGTGTGGATGTCCAAAGGGACCTGGGTGTACTTATTGCTGAGTCACTGGAAGTTAGCATGTAGGTGCAGCAAGCACATAAAAAGGCAAATACTACATTGGACTTCATCGCAAGAGATTTGAGAACAGGGGTAAAAAATGTTTTATTGCAGTTGCATAGAGCCCTGGTGAGACCTCAACTGCAGATTTTGCACAGTCTCTTTATCTAAGTAAGAATATACTTGTCATAGAGTGCAATATGGGTTCATCGGTTTAATCCCTGGGATTGTCTATGAGGAGAGGAAACACTGTTTAAACAACCTAGAGTTGTGAGGAATGAAACTTACAAAGCTCCTACAGGATGAGACTGGATGGATGCATCTTCAATGGTGAGCCTTAAACCTCAATTCATTATTAAGGGGCAGGCCATTTAAGAGAAGGAGGAATTTCTTCACTCAGAGGGCGGTGAATCTTTGGAATTCTCTGTACCCGAGGGCTGCACAGACATAGTCAGGTTCAAGACAGAAATCAATCATAGGGTTCTGGGGACTAATGACACAAAGGTATATGGAGATAACATGGGAAAAGGTGCATTGAGGTAGATGTTCTAGAATGGTTCGATGGGCTGAATGGCCTAATCCTGTTTCTAATCGCTCTTTCAAAACATCCATCTTTTACAGTTTTTTATATCTTTTACAGAGGGAGGACTAAGGTCTCATTGAAATGGCTCATCAAAACGATGGACCCTCTAACAGTGTGGCACTCCCTCAGCACTGCACTAACACTATCATCTAGAATCTGGATTCAAGCATCTGGAACCCAGAACATCCTGACTCTGAGGTAAATAGCTGGCCCAGTGTGCCACCGGTACAGAAAACTAGACCTCAGACTCCACTCTTTATCATTAAACTCCATACTTAACATTCAGTTCGGTGTTTCTCTTTTGGTGCTACCCCATTCCTAATTGCCTTTCCTCAGACCATTTCAGAGACCAGTTAAGTAAGATCCAACATCATTGCTGTGGGTCTGGAGTCACATGTAGGCCAGACTGGGCAAGGATGGCAGATTTCCTTCCTCAAAAGGACATTAGTGAACCAGATTGGTTTCTAACAACAATGGATGATAGCTTTATGGCACCATGATGGAGAATAGTTTCTGACTCCCAGATTTATTCATTGAATTTAAATTTCTCCAGAGTTGCAGAGATGGAATGTGATCTCCTACCCTCAGTGCATTTGCCTCTAGGCTACTAGTGACATTATCAAAATCTATCCCCAAGTCCCCCAGTCCTCCATCCAAATTTAGACTCTAACTTGCACCAACAGCAGCTCCAGATGAATGCACTGCAGTTCCTTCACGCCTGTTACTTTTTTTTAAAAAAAAGCAGCTCAGTTCTGAAGAGGGAACAGTCACTCACAGTCACTGCTGAAGTCATCGACAAGAATGATTTCCTGGATGAGTTTCGGGGGACTGCGGTTCAGAATGCTGAAAGAAGCAGGAAAGACAAGAGGATTAGACGTTGCAGCTCATTATAGACCAGCAACAGAGATAGAAAGCCCCAAGGCAGTCCCCCACCTCCCTCACCTCCAAACACTAATTGGCAAAACGTTGATTCTGTTGTTAGGGACATCATAGCATAGCACTTAGAAAATCCTAATATGATTAGGCAGAGTCAACATGGGTTATAAAATGGAATTCTGAGGAAGAGTCAGACTGGACTCAAAATGTTTCTCTCTCCACAAATGCTGCCAGGCCTGCTCAGTGGCAATGGTGACTCAGTCGTTAGCACTAATGCCTCACAGTGCCAGGGACCCAGGGTTCGATTCCACCTTCAGGCAACTTTCTGTGTGGATTTTACATGTTCTCACCATGTCCGCATGGGTCTCCTCCAGGTGCACCAGTTTCCAAAGATGGGTAGGTTAGGCGGATTGACCATGCTAAATTGCCCATAGTGTCCAGGGACATGTAAGGGGGCTAGCCATGAGAAATGCAGGGTTATAGGTTAGGGTAGGGGAGCGGGTCTGGGTGGGATGCTATTCGGAAGGTCGATGTGGACTCGATGGGCTGAGTGGCCTGCCTTCATACTGTAGGGATTCTGTGATTCTAGGAGTTTCTGTAGCACTTTCTGCTTGTATTTCAGATCGCCAGCATCCACAGTACTTGGCTGTTATTTATGAAAAGCAGTGCCTGTTTGACAAATCTGTCAAGGGGATTGGTTGTTGAGATTATATACATTCAGGATCAATAAGGGGCAGTCAGTTTAATATTTCCAAACGCCTTCGAAGAAGTACCCTACAAACCTGAGGACTCGGGATTAGTGGGGAGAGGAGCCAGGGAGGTGGTTCCCACTCTCTCTCTCGCGCGAACACACACACACACACACACGACACACACAGTCTGTGCGCTCACCCTCTCCGCAGGGTGACTCTCCGTCTGGCTGCCGGTTCAGGTCTAGCTTTTGGTCACACCGGAGGTAACTTTGTGAAAGAGTTGGACCCGATGCCAGGAGTTTCTCCTCCGTGGGAAGGCCAGGCACGAGCCTGCGGGCAATAGTTCCAAGTTCAGTGGTGCCGGCGGCTTTACTTTCCAGCCACTCTGCACACATCCACGTACCCCATGCCCCTCTGTCCCGCCAGAAGGCCGGGTGCAGTCTTTCCATACTCCCGTGGTTCTCGAGGAAAGGAAGCAGTCGGTCATGCGTGCTCTGTGTGTTCGGGGTGGTAAGGTGCGTTGTGTGCGAGGCTGGCGCGTACTTCATGCCTCCCTCCGCCTGTAGCCTCCCAAGGTATTGCCACTTCATTGTTGGCAGTTCTCCTGCGCCCACCGCGCTGGTCCTCCCCCATTGCCCGCTTGCCTCTGTCGGTTTGGCTACCTGTTTGATCCTGCCAGTAGCATATGCTTGTCTCAAAGATTAAGCCATGCATGTTTATCTCACTTCCTCATTAAGGCCACAATCACTCAACATGACTGCAAGTTCTACATTCTCACCATACTGTGTTCCAAACGGCTTCTGCTGTTTCCCAATTGGATTTAGTCACGACCGTCTTATACTTATGCCCCCTACGTTTTGGGCAGTTGCAAACATCTTCCGTGCATCTACCTACTGAAATCTATCTTAATTTTTACATCATTCCTCCGTGGTGAAAGCCTATTTACTCTTCACAGCTGATTTCTGGCAGCGTTCCTACCAGTTTTAAGATTCATCTCTAGTGTTTCCATGTCCCCTTTTCTGTATTACGCAGACCAGAAATGCACAGTGCACTCCCACTGCGACCTAACCAAGGCTCTGTACAAGTTGAACGGAATGGGAAATGTGATGAGTTCCAGAATCGCAGTCTGTCTGCAGAGATCGCTGACTTGGGGCAAAAGCACACATTCTCAGAGCAATTTCTGGGCCGCAGAATCACTACAACGTGTGAGCAGGCCATTTGGGCCATCAAATCTACACCTACCCTCCGAACAGCATCCCTCGTAGACCCATCCCCACACCCTGTCTCTGTAACCCTGCATTTCCCATGGTTAATCCACTTGCCTACACATCCCTGTGGCCAATTGAGCATGGGCAATCCACCTAACCTGCACATCTTCAGACGGTGGGAGGAAGCCCACAGACACGGGAAGAACGTACAAACTCCAGACAGAAAGTCGCCTAAGGGAGGAATCGATCCTGGGTCCCTGGCGCTGAGAGACAGCAGTGCTAACCACTGAGCCACCTAGAGAAAAGTTACAGCATCAAAATTCAGTGCCTTTAAAGTAAAATGCCTCAAAAATTGAGATGATGTGAACTGCCAATTACACTGACTTGACACGCATTATTCTCCTGGTATTAAAGATGCTGGAAAAAAGAAAATGAACTCCAGCAGCACACCTTTAAACCACTATGTTGTTTAGAGTGCGATGAGGTCTCGGTTAAATTGCTGAACTAGGAATCACATATGTCTGCCAAATCTGAATTCTGGTTTAAAAGATTAAGTTCCGAAGGTGAGTCATATTGAATTCCAAGAGTTTCTCCAGCACCTTCTGGTGTTTATTAAGAAATATATATAAGATTTGTTATATATAGGGCCCTTGCTGCAGTAAGGCCTTTGATCAGAATCCTATACAAGAGAATGCTCTTCCTTATTATAGTACTGACGTAGATCATTCAGTTCAGTTTATGGAATGTGATATTTAATCCATTAAGTGTTAACATCTTAACACAGTTGAGGGAATGATAATGGACTTCCGTGGTTTCTGATTGTAGTGCTATCACTTTGAAAGACGAGTACTGAACGTATACATTGACAGTGACTCAGGCATGCAGTTTGAAACACTTGAACTCGATGCTTTGCTCATTAATGGAGTGCACGTTGGCCTGCCAAACTCTCACTCTCACACCCAACTGCTCAGACTCACATATGTAGAATCACAGTGCTAGAGCAGAAAGAGGCCATTCAGTTTATTGTGCCTGTACTGGTCCATTAATCGAACATCATTACCTTGTGCCAATCTCCTGCCTTATCCCCACATCCCTGCATACCATTTCTAACCAAATCACCATCTAATGTCCCTCTTGAATGCCTCCATTGAAAAAGCCTCCACCACTTTTCCAGGTTGTACGCTAACTACTCGCTGTGTGGGAAAAAAAATTTCTCACATCACCCAATCTTTAATTGCAGATCACTAAGCCTATGCCCTCTCATCCTTGTTTCTATTAGGAGCAGGAATAGTTTCTCCCTCTTTACTCTGTCCAGGCCGCTTATGATATTGAAAACGTCTATCAGATCTCCCTCTCAGCCTTCTTCTCTCCAAGGAGAGCAATCCCAACTTCTTCAATCTATTCTCATCACTGAAGTTCCTCATTTCTAGAGCCATTGTTGTGACCAGCTCCTGCACTCACTCACTCTCTCTCCCCAATGTGTTTAATCTTTCCAGTGATGCTGTTTTCTTTATCCCTGTGTGAACAAGCTGTTGAGAAGGTTTGTACATCACCAACCACACTGAAGATTAGAAAGCCAGAAGGGATAGTGAACCATAATGATAATAATTCCTGAAACGGTGGGTGATATTCTCACTCAGTACTGTATAACACAGCACTCTGCAGTGTGTTCAAGGGCTACCACTCACAAACCGAGGTTGTTAGTCAACTTGAATGGATGCCAGGTTTTAGCCACGGGATGTTTGAAGGTTCCTGTTGGAGCTTGTTTCTGTTCTCTGTAGGGAGAGGGTGCAGGGCCTACAACCAATCACATCCCCACCCCTAACCTTGACAGTGGAACAGCTTTCATTTTCAAATCCTGAACTTTCGAGATCCTGTTACTACTGCAAAAGATTTCAATGCTGAAACTGCATCAGCCAAAGCTCTAGCTTTTCTGTATCCAAATCCCATTCCTTTATAGAATCATAGGATCTCTACAGTGCAGATAGAGGCCATTCAGCCAATCAAGTCCGCACCGAACCTTAGAAGAGCATCTACCCAGACCCAGCCCCAGCCCCCTACCCTATCCCTGCAACCCTACATTTACCATGGTTAATCCACCGACCCTGTATATCTTCTGACTGTGGGAGGAAACCGGCATGAACACAGAGAGTCACCCAAGGCTGGAATTAAACTTGGGTCCCTGGCACTGTGCTGCCCAATGACATACCTTGGTTTTTGGTCTGCTAGCTCCCCCTTCCCGCAGCCAATCCCAGTTAGAGTCATACGGCACAGAAACAGACCCTCATTCCAACTTGGACATGCCAACCAGGTTTCCTAAACTGAATTAGTCCTATTTTGTCTACATTTGACCCATATCACTCTAAACCTTTCTCATCCATGTACCTGTCCAAAATTCCTTTAGATTTTGTAACTGTACTTGCCTCTACCACCTTCTCTGACAGCTCGTTCCATGTACATGCCATTCTCTGTGTGAAAGGGTTGCCCTATAGGACCCTTTTAAATCTTTCCCCTCTCACCTTAATCCTATGCTGTCTAGTTTTGGACTCCCCTACCTTGGGAAAAAGACCTTGGCTATTCACCCTATCCACGTCCGTCATGAATTTATAGGGTCACCCCTAAGCCTCCTACGCTCCAGGTAAAAAGAGTTCTAACCTATCCAGCCTCTCTTTATAACTCAAACCCTCCAGTCCAGGCAACATCCTGGTCATTTTTTCTGTACCTTTTCCAGTTTAATAACATCCTTCATATAGTAGGGCGATGAGAATAGTACTCCAGATGTAGCCTTACCAATGTCTTGTACAGCCACAACATGACATCCCCAACTCCTATACTCAATGTGCTAACCCATGAAGGCAAGTGTGCCAAACCGTCCTATCTTCACTACCCTGTCCACCTGTGATACCACTTCTAAGGAACTTTGTACCCGCGCCCCTAGGTCTCTGTTCGACAGCATTCCCCAGGGCCCTACCATTAATCATGCAAGTCCTGTCCTGGTTTGTCTTACCAAAACACAACACGTTGTATTTATCCAAATTAAACTCCATCTGAAATTCTTGACCTTATT